TGATATATTTTTTTAAACTCAACTTTCAAGCCTTTTAAATTGAGGTTTCGCCTATGGAGGAGAAAAACAATTGTATTCTGAAATAGTCAAACATTTTCAAAAAACCACTGCAGCAAATTCTGTAATTGTAATGCAGTTCAGATTTTGAATAATTGTTTTAATTTTAATCCAGTACATATTTGTGGTTTATTTTGAAGCAAGCAATTCATGGCAGCTTTTATCAAAATAATAATAATTAAAAATAGGATTTGATTTATGCTTTTGCCTGTGCAGCCCTTATTTTTCAAGAATCTGTAGTTAGCCTTCCTCAAATAAATACCTAACCCTAAGCAGCATGGAAGAGAAACATTATAGTCACCAACATTTCCCACAAATGCAAAGGTTTAGAAGTCTTAACATATTTTTCTCTAGAATGTTTGAGTTGACTTATCAGTTTGACCCTCACTACAACTTACAGAGAGGCTTGTGGAGAGAAGATCCCTGCTTAGATCATATGACAAAATTGTCTGTGTGGCTATAATTTTGATAGCTTCAGAAGAAGAAGAAATCAGCAGGGAAGTTTGATGGATTTATCTCAGGGTAGAAACTTGCTTCTTAAGCAAAAAATTAGTACCCAAAAAAGTCCATGAGAAAATCACTTTTCCTCCCCTTTGTGACATTTTCATTAGCTTATATGGCAAATGAAAGAAATACCTGTGTGGGGGGGTCATTTTTACTATACTAATAAAATGGCACATTTATATTGCTGCCATTTCTTTTAAAATGTGGCCATTTCTTTCAGTTTTTATAAGGAGATTTGCTTTTCTACATGAAAACATCTCTGTAAATAACCAGGGTACCAAAAACACAGTTTAGTTAAACGTTTCTGTTCAATTTCAATTAATATGCAATGAATTTGGGTTTTTTTAATTGACCTGAAAGCACTGCTGAGGGGCTGTATAAAAATCTTTTTGATAATAAGAATACCTTATTGTGATGTATTCATCCATTTCTTTTAATTTCCATTTGAGCCATCTAAATCTTCACAACTACAGTCCTCCTTTGTAGACTGTTCAAAAAGAAAACAAATTTTCTTTCATAAACCTGGTAATCAATATGTCTGAGATCTTGTACCTTGTTACATGTATTTATATTCATTCATTTCAGTGGGTTTCAGCATCCCCAGGTGGGCAAAGTCTTTTATTTGATTATGAACATGCTTTTTTCTAATTGACATTTCAAGTCTCCTTTACTTCACTGTAGAAGTAGCTTCCCATTGCCACCAAATATTAGTAAGAAATTTCAAACATTTACTCACTACTGTTCTAATTCATCCTGAAAATCTTAAGCATTAATTCCTGAATTATTATTATTATTTACACATTCCCATGGAATGTTTCTGGTTGAAATCAATTAAAGGTTACAAAAAAATGTTCATCAACATTCTTATATGTATATGAGAATTAAAGATGTTGAAACCATTCAAAAATCCTCTTTATCAGTTGAAAGGTAAGATGAAAGCACATGTGTGTGTGTGTTTGTGTATGGCAACTTTGATTAAAATGTTACGGGCACATCCTAATTAATATCTTGCAAGCTGTCAAAAAAATGACATGTTCTCTCAATCTGAACAAATAACTTTAAACAAATGGATACTGTTAATTTTTTATTTTTATTTTTTAAAAAACTCATTACCTGTGTAATATTGGCACATAGTATTTATTATTGAAAAAATATTTATTGCTACAAATCAGTGCCTGGAATCATGAACTCAGGTTTCTAAAGCTTTTCCCAGCTAAGCATCACACCTGCCTTAGTCCCAACAGAGAGCTACAACTTCATCACAAATCTTCAGCTGTTGGGTTTATGGCTGCAGGGAAGCTCAAAACAAAATGCAGATAAAACTTCCTAAAACTTAAAACAAACATATTTTTTTTAAAGCACTTTCTTTTTTTCCTCTCAGAGGGGGAATTTGATTGTGGCACTCAAGCTGTTAACACTGAATAAATTGTTACAGTTATGCAAAAACGTCTTCAAAAATGGTTTCTTAAGGGTTGCATTTGTCCGACTTGATCATTTCCTATAGTGCAGTCCCCTCTTGAGCAGGAGGAATGAAGAATTTGGGGCTGTTCAATGCCTATTGCGTTGCCCTGATCTTTAAACACACACAGAGACACACATGGAAGAAGAAATCCCATCGATTTCAAGTGTATGGTTAGGATTCCATCCATAGCATTTTCCCTAGCTGGGTTGATGGAATTAATTTAGTCTACCTGAAAGCACTCAAAACATTTTGATTCGCTTTGACCCGGTGTGGACATCCAAATATAGCCCGCGAGTTTGATTTTATAAGTCTAAACTTTTAAAAGAAAAACCTAGAAGTTGCTTAAGCAAACACCTGAATGATAACCACACACACCTGGTCAAAAGAAATGGCAGTGGACAAAGACTCTCAAAAGTTTTGTTAAAAGCGATTGAAAAGCAGAGGCAAGTAAAATGGCTGTTCAAGAAGTTGAGAAGTGATATATTGCCTATTTGCTTCCCGAAGAGGAAGGAGGAAGGAGCAAGTGATGGGGAAGAAGTGCTTAATTTTAGGTCAATAAGTCTATTGGTGTTGGGTACCCAAAGTGACTTGGATGTTAGGTTTCAACCTGGACATTTCTGCGGGCACTAAGGATGAACAAGACAAGAACGGTTACAGAGGTTTGAGCACCTGCTATGGAAATTATTTGTAGCAATACTTAAAATTTTAAAATAACATATGGTGTGGAAAGCTGCTTCCTGCCAGCTCAGACAATTAGTCCATTTGGACCAGTACTGCCTACTTTGAATATCAGTATCTCTCTAGGGTCTCAGGCAGTGAAAAGTGTCCACCTTCTCCAGCTATCTACAGTCCTTTGACTGCAGTTTATCAAAATTTGAACCCAGGACCTTAGGAAAACACAGGGAACTGTTTTGTGCTCTGTGAGACTGTATGGGTGCATTCAGACAACACTTTGCTCTGTTCTCCTGACATTTGTGTTACCTGATAATTCATGCATTTTATGTGATATTTCACACAATGTAAAAAGTCACTTCTGAAGCCCTAGACGAATATAGTGGAAATGTAGCATCTGTTTCTATGTTAATTGGTTTTTTAAAAAAAATTCATTTACCTCACAAAAATCATACACTGTGATCTGATGCGACGAAAGCTGCATTCAAACAACAGGTTATTCCATTTTCCTGATGCTTCCCTAAGAGCAAATGTCTGCATTCTGCTTTAGTTTTCACAAAGCATAAAAGCCACATCCAAAAATATATCGAAGTGCAGCGCAGGTTTAGCACTCACACCCATGTAATTTGCTTCCTGGGGGTGGGGAGGGTGGGAATCCATTTGCAATGAGTCCTGAACTTGTGCTATAATCTGTTATACTTCTGGAAGTGGCTTTTGCACTGTGATATTGCAGAAATCAACAGGTAGGGAAACATCAGGGAAATGGAATGAACCATCCAATGAATGCAACTGAATTTGTTTCATGGGGGGAGGGCGTATCTGGTGTACACCCCTTTCCTTCCACTTATAATTTAGCACCATGTGACCGTATATTGATAAAAAAAGGCCACAATTCCAGGTACTGTGGTGTAAAAGGGGTATTAGATACTGGGACAGAACTGCTAGCATTATAACCAGTAAAACTAGCATCAGTAACCTCACGTCCGAATGCAGCCTAGTTGTTCATTTGGATCAGGCTGCATTCCCATCCCATCTTCTAATGTCCCCTTCACACTGACGTACCTGTTCTTATCCGTTACTCTGGATTTTCGCTCTAAATTTCACTCACACGGTGTGACAATGACAAGCAACATCGGACAATGTTGCTAACCTCCTCCTGATTCCCCCCCCTCCCATGATTCTGCTATGAAAACAGCAAGAAAGAACTGTATGACCACTCAAATTTCATCACCTTGCTCCCATGATTTTCCAGGTTAAGGGGCCTGGAATCTAATAAGACGGGAATGAGTGCTAAACATGTGCTATATTCTATTAGTTTTCCAGAAGTGGCTCAAATAGGATGCAGAAATTAGCAGGGATGTGGAACAAACTGCTATATGAATGCAGCCCAGGCTTGTCTGCTCAGACTGGCAATAAGCTCTTCAGTTTCTCAAAGATCTTGCCCATCGCATTTTATCTGACCCATTTTAACTGGAAATGTTAGGGACTGAACCTGGGAACCTTCTGCGTACAATCACGTGTTCTGCTATTGGGCTGTGTCCCCTCTCCACATAACACGAGCAGCCCTAAAGCTTGATATTTGAAATAAATAGCACCTGTTGAGTTAGTAAAGGGTAAAAGGGACCCCTGACCATTAGGTCCAGTCACGGACGACTCTGGGGTTGCGGCGCTCATCTCGCTTTATTGGCCGAGGGAGCCGGCGTACAGCTTCCGGGTCATGTGGCCAGCAGGACTAAGCCGCTTCTGGCGAACCAGAGCAGCGCACGGAAACGCCGTTTACCTTCCTGCCGGAGTGGTACCTATTTATCTACTTGCACTTTGACGTGCTTTCGAACTGCGAGGCTGGCAGGATCAGGGACCGAGCAAAGGGAGCTCACCCCATCACGGGGATTTGAACCGCCGACCTTCTGATCGGCAAGTCCTAGGCTCTGAGGTTTAATCCACAGCGCCACCCGCATCCCTTGTTGAGTTAGTAGCCAAGAGCTTTTCCAAATATTAGTGTGTCAGCTGCAGTGTGTAGGTGTGTTGCGTGAATGCACCCTGCTCTCCTCCCGGGGCTGGAAAGGGGCTAGTTCAACCTCTGGTTTGCTAGTAAAACTGAATTATTGTTTCGTGAAAATGATGCATGTCCAGTAAGTGTGTTGCCAACATGAAAAGTTTGGAAAGCTCTGGTTGTCGGGTTGATCCCCAAGCAGAGAAAATAACAAAGTGCACATCTCTACTGAAATGGCCCATTGGTCAGTCTAGTTCACTGTTGTCTACACAAACTGTTGATGACTGTCCAGGGTTCTTTTCCATCCTTACATGAAGATGCTGGGAATGGAACCTGGGACCTTCTGCATGCCAGGCAGACTCCCTTCCCACTAAGCTACAGCCCTTCCCTACAGAAAAAGCCATCTTACACTGAGTCAACTGGCAGTGGCTTTCCAGGGTTTCAGACTGGAGATGTTCTCATCTCTACCTGGAGATGCCAGGTGTTGTATCTGGGACCATCTGCATGGAAAGCAGATGCTCTGCTACTGAGCTATGGCGCTGTGGTCTAAACCACTGAGCCTCTTGGGCTTGCCGATCGGCAGGTCGGTGGTTCGAATCCCTGTGACAGGGTGAGCTCCCATTGCTCTGTTCCAGCTCCTGCCAACCTAGCAGCTCAAAAGCATGCCAGTGCAAGTACAGTGGTACCTTGGTTTGCATACGTCTTGGTTTGCATACGTTTTGGATTACAAACATGTCAAACCCAGAAGTGCGTGTCCCAGTTTGCAACCTTTTTTTGGATTACAACCCTTGGGGGGGGGATTACGAACAAAAAAAATTTGGAGGCCCCATTGGTGAAAACGCGCCTTGGGTTACAACCTGTTTTGGTTTGCAAACAGACCACCAGAACGGATTATGGTTGTAAACCAAGGTACCACTGTAGATAAACAGGTACTGCTGAGGCAGGAAGGTAAACAGTGTTTCTGTGCGCTCTGGTTTCCATCACGGTGTTCCATTGGGCCAGAAGCAGTTTACCGTATTTTTCGCTCTATAAGATGCACCAGACCACAAAACGCACCTAGTTTTTGGAGGAGGAAAACAAGAAAAAAAATATTCTGAATCCCAGAAGCCAGAACAGCAAGAGGGATCGCTGCGCAGCGAAAGCAGCAACCCTTCTTGCTGTTCTGGCTTCTGGGATAGCTGCGCAGCCTGCATTCGCTCCATAAGACGCACACACATTTCCCCTTACTTTTTAGGAGGGAAAAAGTGAGTCTTATAGAGCAAAAAATACGGTAGTCCTGCTGGCTACATGACCCGGAAAGCTGTCTGTGGCCAAACGCCGGCTCCCTCGACCTGAAAGCTAGATGAGCGCCGCAACACCATAGTCGCCTTTGACTGGACTTAACCGTCCGGGGTTCCTTTACCTTTTTGTTTTTTAACATCCCCAGGGAAGAGACAGAAGAGGGTGGAAGCTTTCAAGTTTTCACATAACATTTCCCCAGAAGAAATGAAAAAGGTATATCATCTGCTACTTTTATGTTCTGCCCGAGGAAGCTGTTGTGTGGGATGTTGAAGGCTTGCTTTCTCCCACATTCACCTAAGGGACTAACAGACTCTTACTACCTGAAACATTATCTATCATTTCGATTCCCTTTGAAATGAAGCGTCAACCTCATTTGCTGCTCTTACTGATGACAATGGGTATTGTATGGTGGGGAAAAGTTTTTGCCTTGACTGTGTGTCTGGTATTCAGATTCCTGTTTAGGCAACATTATTTTATAGCACACCAGCTTGTTCACAAGTTTGTTCTATTCTCGCGCTGACTCAGAGGGGTTTACAATAATCTCAAGCCTCCAGATTTCCCTTTTCATAATAATAGTAAAAAGTTGTTGGAAGAAATTTATTACGCGCAATTTTTGGTGCAAGTTTTGAGGAGAGCAGCAAAATACCAATGAAAAACGATTGCTTCTCAACAAATTAAAAAAACACCTCCACTTTGGGGAAACTGAAAAGATGCTGACACAATGCAGCAGGGGAGACTGTTCTCATTCCCCGTGTGATTTAGGTGTAGAAAGGTATGTATTATGAATTAGATTTGTTGATTTGGGTAACCAGGTTTTCAGGGCAATCCTATGCGTGTCTACTCAGCAGTTCAGTGGGACTGATGCCCAGGTAAATGGGTACAGGATTGCAGCCTGTAAATGTCTGGATGACTGGAGTAGCTCACCCTCGTTGGCTTAAAAAAGAAAACATAATAGGACATAATATCATGTTTGCTGACTGGGAACAGTTGTGGACCACAGGTATGAAATTTACGGCATGTAATGCCCTAAGAGAGAATATTATGAAAATGATATACAGGTGGTACATGACACCAGTCAAGCTTGCAAAAATCTATCATGTGCCCGATAATAAATGTTGGAAATGTAAGGAAACAGAATTTTCTTTATGTATGCCACAACAGCAGCAAGAATTCTTATTGCAAAGTATTGGAAGACACAAGATTTACCCACCTTGGAAGAATGGCAGATGAAGGTGATGGACTATATGGAACTGGCGGAAATGACTGGCAGAATCCGAGACCAGGGAGAAGAGTCGATGGAGGAAGATTGGAAAAAGTTTAAATATTATTTACAGAAATATTGTAAAATTAATGAATGTTAGAATGATGTTGGATAGAAACTAAGTGGTCTTTAGCTGAAAGGTTACAAGGGAAGATGAAAAAAGGGTTTATTATGTAATATGTAAAAATCTAAAATTACAACATTTTTATGATTAATGATTAGGATACTAAAAGAGGGAGGGATTTGCTGAACAAAATAATTGAACTGGAATACAAACAGGGAGGTGTGAGGAGGTCGGGGAAACAAGCAAATGAAAGATAAGATATGGAAAGACTAATCTGTTTTTTAACTGTTTTTATTTTGTATTCTTATTTTCTATTTGTTTTCTTTTTTTTTCGCTTATTTTTGTAATATGTTGAAACTTTAATAAATATCTTTTAAAAAAATAAAAATAAAAAATAAATAAAAAAGAAAACACCACAGTTTAATGTAACGTGGCGTCAGTGTACAAAACCTATATTATAGACCAATCTATATTATAGGTCAATCTGTGAGCCTCTGGATATTGTTGTACTCCAACTCCCATTAGCACCAGCCAGCATGGCTAACAGTCAGGAATGATGGGAGTTGTAGTCTAACAAAATCTGGAGAGACACAGTTTGCCCATCTCTGTTAAAAGCGAAATTCACCATTTGGAGATACAGTGGTACCTCTGGTTACGAACTTAATTCTTTCCGGAGGTCTGTTCTTAACCTGAAACCTTTCTTAACCTGAGGCACGCTTTCACTAATGGGGGCTTCCCGCTGCCGCCGCACGATTTCCGTTCTCATCCTGGGGCAAAGTTCTCAACCCGAGGTACTACTTCCGGGTTAGCGGAGTTTGTAACCCGAAGTGTTTGTAACCCGAAGCGTTTGTAACCCGAGGTACCACTGTAATATCCCACCTTGCCTGTTGATGGTAATGAAAAATATGTTACTTACAATGATCAGGTGAAAAATAGTGTGTAGACTCTCCCTTAGTTTGGACGTTTGGACTGAACATCTATCAAGTATCAGCTGTTGAAGGGCATGTCCCACATAGCTGCTGGAACCAGTGCTAAAAGGCCTCACAGTTCATTTCACAGTTCAATATAAAGTGCTGTTGGTGTTTACCGTTAAATCAGCCCAGTACCTTCAATATGCTTTGGATTAGAACTCCCATCAGCCCCAGGCAGCACGCACTGCCTGATGGGAGTTATAGTCTTTGTAAGTTTTTTAATTGCTTTCAGCATTGTATTTTAAATTGTAACCTATCCTGGGTTGTGGACTCTCTTTCCTCAGAGGTTTTTAAGCAGAAGTTGGATGGCCACCTGTCATGGATGCTTTAGCTGAGATTCCTGCATTGCAGGGGGTTGGACTAGATGACCCCACAAGGTCCCTTCCAACTCTAAGATTCTATGATTCTGTGATCCTGGGACCTTAGGGAGAAGGGCGGGTATATAATAATAATATTCCAAACCTTCAGGTTGGAGGGCACCAGGTTGGCAGTGGCTAAACTAGGTGGTCTCAGGCAAACTATAGGTTCTTGGTCTCCAGTCTGTAATATGAGGTTAGCAATACTTGCCCTTTTTGCAGGAATGTTGCAAGGATTCCAAGCCAGACAACTTCATTTCGTTTCTATGATTTATACAACAATATCAGAGACAGCCAACCAAAGAAAGGGATACAAAAAAATGAGTAAACAATGAACAGGTGATCCTCACCTATGAATAAAATTTCATTACAATACCTAAGGGGAAGGGGAGTTAACAAATCAAGTAATCAACATAATACAAAATTAGTAAACGTGAAATCAATTGTTGCTAACAGTAAAAAACCTTCACTGTGTAACAAAGGCATAATAAAACAACACAGCATGTGCTTTAGTCGAAAATATAGATTCTTATGCTTATTGCTCCAGCATCCAACTTATCAAAAACACCGGGGCTGTGAAGCACACAGACAAACGCCAAGAATTCTGGGAACTGTAGTTTGTTAATTGTAACTTTGCAAAGGGCATGCTACACTTCCCAGGACTGTTTGGGGAAAGCCTTGTGCTTTAAATGCAACCTAGAACGCACCATGAAAGCTGACAAATCTAGCAGAGGCCAAAAGGAAAACAGCCCATACAAGGCTATAAGCAAAGTCCTTTGACCACTATGTGAAGCGCCAAGGAAATTATTCTGGTAAGAGGTAAATTGGTTTAGAAAGAGGGTTGCACTTCATAGAATCATAGAATTGTAGCATTGGAACTCTGCTACCTTAAAGGTAAAGGTAAAGAGACCCCTGACCATTAGGTCCAGTTGTGGCCGACTCTGGGGTTGCAGAGCTCATCTCGCTTTATTGGCCGAGGGAGCCGCCATACAGCTTCCGGGTCATGTGGCCAGCATGACTAAGCCACTTCTGGCGAACCAGAGCAGCGCACGGAAAAGCCATTTACCTTCCCGCCAGAGCGGTACCTATTTATCTACTTGCACTTTGATGTGCTTTCGAACTGCTAGGTTGGCAGGAGCAGGGACAGAACAATGGGAGCTCACCCCGTCGCAGGGGTTCGAACCGCCAACCTTCTGATCGGCAAGTCCTAGGCTCTGTGGTTTAACCCACAGCGCCACCCACGTCCCTTTCTGCTTCCTTAGTTTTTTAAAAAGTGTTTTCGATGCGTTATAACACTGTGACACCAGACAGCGCTGTAGAGTTCCATCTTTCGCCAACACGATGTCCCATTCTGAGGTTTACAACGCGTTTTCCTGAAACACTTTTTGGATGTGCCTTGGAAGGGACCGCGAGGGTCATCTAGTCCAACCCCCTGCAATGCAGGAATCTTTCTCCCAACATGGGGCTCGAACCCACAACCCTGAGATTAAGAGTCTCGTGCTCTACCGACTGAGCTGGCAAATGTATCCCTTGACACCTATGCAAAAGCTACTGGGTTGCTTGCCCACACTTCTGGTTACTCTTCCAAGCTTAGTCGCCTCAAGGGAATTCCTAACCACCACTGGTGACCCAATAATGTAGGATGCTGTCTTGCGCTGAGTCAAACCGTTGGTCCATCCAAGCCCAGTATTGTCAGTGGCTCTCAAACTCTCTCTCCCTGCCCTACCTGGAGTTGCTGGGAAGGAAATTTCCTTCCTGCAGATGCCCTATCACTGAATCACAGCCCTCCCACAATGAATATCTTTTTAGAATCCTATTTAGGATTAAGTACCTCCGGAGGGAGGGTAAACGGCGTTTCTGTGCACTGCTCTGGTTCGCCAGAAGCGGCTTAGTCATGCTGGCCACATGACCCGGAAGCTGTACGCCGGCTCCCTCGGCCAATAAAGCGAGATGAGCGCCGCAACCCCAGAGTCAGTCATGACTGGACCTAATAGTCAGGGGTCCCTTTACCTTTTTACCTTTAGTGAATGCTCCCACAGGGCTGGTCTATGGCATTTTGGTGTCTGAGGGTTAGATTTGAATGTGTTTTCTAGTAAACTTGGGTAGTTTTTTTAAAGTATTTCCCTGAGGGTTATGCTTCTGGTATTCCACTCACACCATGCATTTAAAGCACTCTAATATCACATTAGGTGTCATGGCGTCACTCAGAGAATCCTGGGAACTGTGGTTCATTAAAGGTCCCCTAGCAACTTTCAGCATGTTTAACAAACTACAGTTCCCAGGATTCTTTGGGGAAGGGTTTCGAAGTGGTTTAAGACTGCCTCATATTCATGGTGTGGGTGTGATCCTTGTTTTCATGCTGGCTCGGCCAAACCTTGAACACAACCCTCCCCCTGCCCCAATTGTGGCCATGTTGAGGGCAATAAATTGGAGGTATGATTCCTCAATATATAAATCAGGCATCCCATTTTCAGAAGTATCATCTCCCTTTGCTCACCTTGAACCGAAATGGACCAAAAATGTTTAAAATAATAAAAAAACCTATATATTAAAGAGTTAAAAAGGAAAAAAACCACTACCACTAACTTAATCACTTTAAAAAGCCATTATGTTTAAAGGAAATAAATGATCTGCAACCAATTAGGAGCAAAATGGTTGTAAAATATTTAATTTGTGAGTAGCATTTGGAATTCTGTAACGGCGAGGGTGTAAGAGGAAAGTAAGTGAAATTTATCATTCCTGGCACTAAATTATCCCTCTTTGGTTCCAGAGAACTAGGCAGTGTTTTCTATTAGTTATAATGCATTCATGAGCCTATGAAAGCCCAATTAACTAATAATTTTCAGTATCCGAACCCTGGGAAACCTTTCCTGATGAGCTCCGTTTGACTTAAGGAGGTCTGTGTTTATTGCAGCGGAAGACTTGACTGTCTAATGTGTCGACAGATTTGCTGGAGACTTGACCATCTAATCCAGAGATGGGAGACCTCAGTCCAAGGGAGGAGTTGAATGTGGCCCTCCATGACTCTCTATCTGGCCCCTGGAACTCTTCCTAGCCCCACCCTCACTGTCTATGTGTGACACCTCAAGTGCCATGAATTGCCTCCATGAACTCTGACTTTGCCTCTTCCCTGGCTAGAGGGAGAATAGAAAGGGTGTTGTCAGTGTGCACAGAAATGGTGCAGAGTTAAAATTTGCATTTATTGCTCTGCCCATTTTTGCCTCTGACTCTGCCAACCACTATCCCAGGAAAGAGCATCCTCAGCAGGGCAAATGGGGGCACTGCCCCCACCTTCTTCTTCTTCTTTTCTTTCTTCTTTGGCGATCCCTCGTAGCCAAGTAAGATTGTTTTCCATAAACATGGTTTTAACAGTGGGGTGTGTAAGTCACTGTGGAGGTCAATTCTGGATCCACACGTCCTTCCACAGTGGGGACATAGGTTTCTGGGTGGGAGTTGATCACAGTGAGGGTTTGCCAAATGTCCCTTCCTCTTAGCACGTTTCTCCCTTTCGTCCTGAGTTTGAGCGTCTTCAAAGCCCATGACACCTTTGGTCAAGGCTGTTCTCCAACTGGAGCTCTCGCAGGCCAGTGTTTCCCAGTTGTCAGTGTTTATACTACTTTTTTTTTTTTTGCCTTGAGAGAGTCTTTAAACCTCTTTTGTTGACTATCAGCATTATGCTTTCCATTGTTAAGTTTGGAATAGAGTAGTTGCTTTGGAATACAATAATCAGGCATAAGAACAACATGACCAGTCCAACAAAGTTGATGTTAAAGAATCATTGCTTCGGCACTGGTGATCTTTGCTTCTTCCAGTACACCGGCATTAGTTCACCTGTCTTCCGAAGTGATGTGTAAAAATTTTCGGAGACACCGTTGATGGAATCTTTCGAGGAGCTGGAGATGGTGTTTGTAAGTGGTCCATGTTTCACAAGCATACAATAAGGTTGGTAGTACAATAGCTTTGCAAACAAGCATTTTGGTTTCCCTGCAAACGTCCCAGTCCTCATACACTCTGTAGCGCTCTCAGAGCTCAGGCGATGCTGGATTTTGGCATCAATGTCAGCCCTTGTAGAAAGATAACTGCCCAGGTAGGAAAAGTGATTGACATTTTCCAGCGTTACACCACTGAGTTGGATCCTGCAGAGGGATTGTTTTGTGCTTGTTGGTTTTTTGGGTGTTGAGCGATAGGCCAAGCATTTCCTTCTTTCTTATGGCCAGTCCAGGGGGTGGATCTGAGCTTCCTCCTCCTTCTGAATTTCAGGGTTACCTCTGTAGAACTCAGCAAGAAAAAGGATGGGGACAAAACTAGAATTAGTAGGCTCTGACCATAGCTGTCAACTTACAGAATTGAAAATAAGGGACCAGCAGCCTCGAAAATAAGAGATCAGCAGCCAAAATAAGGGATTTTCCGGGCACAGGTATGTTCAACTTCTGAGCCCCTCCGAGCCAAAGGCAGAAAGCCCAGCCAGCAGCCAAACGAAGCCGCAAGCGGTGGTTCCCACAGCGCAGCAACCCGGCAAAGGGGATGCAGCAAGGAAAACCACCGTCACCTCTCCGCTGGGAAGCGCTGAGCAAAAGCAAGTCCCCAGGCAATGCGGCCGATTTGATCCGCACAAGGCATGCAAGCTCCACCCCCCAGTCATTCTTAGACTCCTTATTGGGCGAGCAATGCAGCCAAGCAACACAGTTGGAGCCTCCCTCCTCCCTGGCCGGCAGGGAGGGAGGGAGAGGAGCTGCTTCCTTTGAAACCCAGGAAATTTAAGGGACATCATCAATAAGGGACAGCGGCAGGACACAGCGCTGGGATAAGGGATTTTCCCGCCAAACAAGGGACGGTTGACAGCTATGGCTCTGACTCTTATTGGCTCTGGCTCTGTCTGTCGTGGGATCTGGCTCTGTCGGGCTCCCTGCCTTCCAGCCTACCAGTCTCAATGGGAGGCAGCCACAGCTGTTTTTAGCCTACACGGTGTCATGGACCGGCTGGAGGCAGAGGAGTGGTGGGAGGCACCACCAGCTGGGGAACCCCCAAGGGAGCCCCCAGGGGAAGAAGGCTAAGAACCAGGGGACTGGTGGTGGGATGACAATAACTGGTCAGAGAGAGAGAAGGGAGCAGACTGGGAGGAGGAGGTGGCAGAAGCTGACAAGGTAGCAGGGTTTAGTGAGCAGGGAGAGTGTGGCAGAGAGCAGTCCAGGACAGATGCAGAAGCAGAGGCTGGAGAAGGGGAGGGCCAAGAGGCAGGCCTCTGTGTCAGGTGTGTGTGCAGAAGCAGGCCCTGTGGCCAGTAGGACTTTGCAGGACTGGGGTCTTCCTAAGTTTGTTCTGAAGAGGCAAGGCGCGGCCGCATAGGTGAGGCCAATTGGTAACTCACAGTACCTGGTGGCAAGAACCAGGAAGGGATATAAGGTCCGCATTTCCCTTCAGCTCTTTGCCACAGCAACACGCTTCCTGCCTTGGGCTTCTTGCTTACTGATCCTTGAACCCTAGCTTCTTCTTCGTTCAGCCCAGACACTGAGGTCCAGCACTGAGGGCCTTCTGGGGGTTCCCTCATTGCGAGAAGTGAGGGAACCAGGCAGAGGGCCTTCTCGGTAGTGGCGCCCGCCCTGTGGAACGCCCTCCCATCAGATGTCAAAGAGATAAACAACTACCTGACATTCAGAAGACATCTTAAGGCAGCCCTGTTCAGGGAAGTTTTTAATATTTAACGCTGTACTGTTTTTAATACTTGATTGGGAGCCGCCCAGAGTGGCTGGGGAAACTCAGCCAGATGGGTGGGGTATAAATAATAAATTATTATTATTATTATTATTATTATTATTATTATTATTATTGACTCCTTGCTTCTTGATCCTCGGACCTTTGACTTCGTGCCTCCTTGCTTCCTGACCCTTGGACCCTTGGCTTCTTGACTCCCGGCTCTCTGACCCTTGGACTCTTGGCTTCCTGGCTTCTGGACCCCCATTCCTGCTCCCACCCCACCATCTTGCCCCCGGTCCTGACGTCCCCTGCTGGGACTTTGATTGCTCATGAACCGGACTGTGACACTCTGAAGACCAGCTGCAAGCAGTTTCCCTCCTTCGTGATCTCCGAGAACCTGAAGAGGTATGAAGAGAGCTGAACAAAGACAGGTAAGACGGAGGAGCCTCAGGTTGTTTGAGAAGGAACCAGGGGAGGAGGAGGAGACTTAGGCAGCTGCAGGAAGGCAGAGACCTTCACTCCTCACAACTGCTTCATAGGAGCAAGTTCTTCAGGGAACAGTTGTTGTGCTCACTAGGCCAGGCCTAGCTCTGGAGGCCCAGCCTAGGGAGTCAACTTCACTGAAGCCATCTGAATTATTGCTGACCTACTCCTAGCACTCAGAGGGACGCGGGTGTCGCTGTGGGTTAAACCACAGAGCCCAGGACTTGCTGATCAGAAGGTCAGCGGTTCGAATCCCTGCAACGGGGTGAGCTCCCGTTGCTCGGTCTCTGCTCCTGCCAACCTAGCAGTTCGAAAGCATCTCAAAGTGCAAGTAGATAAATAGGTACTGCTCTGGCAGGAAGGTAAATGGCATTTACGTGCGCTGCTCTGGTTCACCAGAAGCGGCTTAGTCATGCTGGCCACATGACCCAGAAGCTGTACGCCGGCTCCCTTGGCCAATAAAGCGAGATGAGCGCCACAACCCCAGAGTCGGTCACGACTGGACCTAATGGTCAGGGGTCCCTTTACCCTTTACTTTACTCCTAGCACTCACTTCTGACACATGGCCTTTGCTGGTGAAAACAAAGCTACCCTTAGGGTCTCAGAAGTCATGACGCTTATCCAGTTGCCCTTTCCGGGAGGGGGGGGACACCCACAATGATGATTATTAAAATAACGAGCCTTACTAAGGATCTGGTTTAGCGTCTTCTAGAACATAGGTCTTCAATCAGTGGGCCGGGACCCCCAAGTGGCTCTCAAGGCCATACCTAGTGGGTTGAAGCAAATCTGTTGCTGCCGTTTCACCACCAGCTCGGCAGGAACCAGGGTGCAATTCAAAGCATTGGTTCTTGGCTTCTCCTCCCCTATGGGAAGGTGAAACTGAGTGGCAAGACAGTGCACACTAGGGTCACCACCTCCCCACTCCAGTGGTGGTCAGTTCCCTGTTGGGACTGATTGAGTGTAAGGCCGGAGGCCAACAGTAGGTGGAGCCAGAGCCAGCGAGAAGCAGAGCAAAATAATTCTAGCTTTGATCCCATCCTCTTTGCTGTTGAGTTCTGCAGAGGTAACCATGGGACTAACCCTAACCCTAATGGGGGAAAGCGTACACATTTCATAGACTTATAGGATTGTAGAGTTGGAAGGAGGGACCCCAGGCTTCAAGAGTTCAGTCTGTTTTGTGGGCTAAGAAAAAAAACATATTTTTTGAAGGAAAAAAACGTGATTAGAAAGCATTTTGACACACTTTCCCTTGGATTGTTTCTGTTTGTTTGTTTGTTTGGTTGGTTGGTTGGTTGGTTGGTTTATTTGAACCTGCTTTTATTTGGTTCAGCCCAATGTAGGCTCCCTTTCTAGACACTGAACACTGTGGGATTTATTTCCGAGAAGGCATCTATAGTGTGCTGTTACCTTTTTCCCCCTTAAGTGGGCCACAATCCAACCGCGCTTGTGTCACCAGCGGTTAAAGGGATTGTTGTGTAAATATTAAGAACGAAGGCCCTTTGTCGGCAGAGGAAATGGAGTCGTCTTTAAAGACCCTCAAAATTCCCAAACACCACAGATTCCATTCAGCCTCCCCCCACCCGCCCCTGCCGCAAGATGAATTATTTCCTGCTTTTCTTTCTTGTAAATATCTTCTGCCACCCAGCACCTTCTGGAGATAAAAACCTGGAACAATTAGTCATTTGCAGACATGGAACTCGCAAGGTGAAAGAAAACAGCCTTCGCTGCTTCAGACCGTCTTTGATGGAGGCAGTGTTTATAAATGCCTTCCACGGCTATGTTAGTAATGTGCATTTGCCCATTAACTTTCTGAAACTGACCGACACGTGAAATGTGCCCTTCAGTAGAGCAGATGGTAACAAAGATTGTTTCATTCGTTGGCTGCAGGACCCTTGCAAAAATAAACAGAAGCCTTGGGGAGTCGATTCCTATTTCATTGTGCTTCGGAAAAGCTCTCCCTGCCACTCAAACATCTCCTGTTCAAAACCATTCCTGCAAAAATCGGGATCGGAATCTGAAATTGCTGAGAATTATTTTGCTGTTGTGTGATGGGCACCTCCTGACGGGCCGAGGCAAAGCTAAACCAGGAGGCTTGTGAGCATAAAGTTACTCTTTCTGGGGTTGATGGTCCTTTGTTTGTTGTATTTCTTCATCCCCCGACTTCCTTCAAGGGGCAGTCTCTTTCTATCCTCACAACAGCTTGGGGAGATGGATTAGGCTGTGAAGCTCACCCACTTCAGTCACGTTCAGAGCATACATTGAAAGCACATTACTTTCCCCAAGGAATCCTGGGAAGTGTAGTTTAGACTTATAAACACCTTCTCCAGCTCATCGAAAGAGTCCATCAGCGGTGTCTCCCAAAAAAAATTACACATCACTTGGGAAGACAGGCGGACTAATGTCAGTGTACAGGAAGAAGCAAAGATCACCAGTGTCGAAGCCATGATTCTTCAACATCAACTTTGTTGAACTGGTCCTGTTGTTCGGATGCCTGATTATCGTCTTCCAAAGCAACTACTCTATTCCAAACTTAAAAATGGAAAGCATAATGCTGGTGGGTCAACAAAAGATGTATAAAGACTCTCTCAATGCAAATCTAAAAAAAATACAGTGGTACCTCGGGTTACATACGCTTCAGGTTACATACGCTTCAGGTTACAGACTCCACTAACCCAGAAATAGTACCTCAGGTTAAGAACTTTGCTTCAGGATGAGAACAGAAATTGTGCTCCTGCAGCGCGGCAACAGCAGGAGGCCCCATTAGCTAAAGTGGTGCTTCAGGTTAAGAACAGTTTCAGGTTAAGTACGGACCTCCGGAATGAATTAAGTACTTAACCCGAGGTACCACTGTAGTATAAACACTGACAACAGGGAAACACTGGCTTGAGAGTGCTCCAACTGGAGAACAGCCTTTACCTAAGGTGTCATGGGCTTTGAAGACGCTCGAACTCAGGACAAAAGGGAGAAACATGCTAAGAGGAAGGCACATTTGGCAAATCCACACTGTGATCAAGTCCCACCCGGAAACCTATGTGCCCACTGTGGAAGGATGTGTGGATCCAGAACTGGCCTCCACAGTCACTTACAGACTCAGTGTTAAGACCATGTTCATGGAAAACAATCTTACTCGGCTACGAGGGATCACCAAAGAAAGAAGAAAGTTTAGCCCTCACAGAACTACAACCCCCAGCACTCTTAACAAACCACAGTTTCCAGGATTCCTTGGGAGATGCCAAATGCTTTGAATGTGCTTTGAATGTAAGGGGTGTATGCAAACTGAGTATCCTGAATTGGAAACTGGGTCTTCCCATGTTTTTATATATGCTGGAAGCCACCCAGAGGAGCTCGGGCAACGAATGATAAAATTGTTGTTGTTGTTCCTTGCTTGACCCTGACACTCTAAATCCAAAAGTGAGGAGCCTATGACATGCTTGATGCTATTATTATCATTATTATTATTACAGTGGTACCTCGGGTTAAGTACTTAATTCGTTCCGAAGGTCCGTTCTTAACCTGAAACTGTTCTTAACCTGAAGCACCACTTTAGCTAATGGGGTCTCCTGCTGCTGCTGGTGCGCCACGAGAGCCCGATTTCTGTTCTTATCCTGAAGCAAAGTTCTTAACCTGAAGAACTATTTCTGGGTTAGCGGAGTGTGTAACCTGAAGCGCATATAACCTGAAGTGTATGTAACCCAAGGTACCACTGTATTATTATTATTATTATTATTATTATTTACTATTACTACTACTACTACTACTACTACTACTACTACTACGATTATCATTTTACTTCCCCCGCCAGGAAGGTGAACTCAAAGTGAGTTACAGAAGACAATATTAAAAACATGCATAAAATCAAGAGTAAAAGCAACCTGTATTCAATGATTATATGTATAAAAGATACATCATTAGTGCATAGTTAACCTATGGACCTCTCTCCCAAAGGAGGCAGTGAGGGCCACCAACTTGGATGACTTTAAAAGAGGATTAGACCAATCCATGGAGGGCAAGGCTGCCAGCAGCTCCTAGCCATGACGGTTATGTTATATGTTTACTGAACGACAGTTTCTGAGAACTGCAGGTGGGGAGGTGAGTGCTGTTGCACTCATGTCTGGCTTACAGGCTTCCCCATAGGCATCTAATCGGCCACTGTGAGACCAGCATGCGGGACTAGATGGGCCACTGGCCTGATCCAAGAGGTCCTCCTTATGTTCTTGTGACCCAGCAACCCTATAGCTCAGTATTGTCTACCCTGGCAGCACTTCTCCAGGGTTCTGTCCCATCTCTACCATGGGTAACTCAACCATACAGCCAATTGCTGCAGAGGGCAGGGTTGAAGTCACCACCCATTGGCTGATAAATGGCGACTTTAATTGACTGATCGGTGCTGCTTAAAAGCACTGCATAGGGTTCTTTTCAATGCCTGGGTGTTGCCTTAAAGTCCCAGCAACCCTGGAGTGATGTCATTGTGATGTCAGGTGGTTCACAGGTGGGTAGCCCTGGCCAGATCAGGTCGTCATCCCATCCCGTCCCCATCCCCCCAGTCTAGATGGATATGTTACCCAAGGATAGCAATCCTGGGTTAACAGTCCTGAAATACATGGCCTATAATTGGACCAAACAAGCAAATCTTGGGAAGGTAACGTAACTCAGTGGTAGAGCACATGTGTTGGCTGCAGAAGGTCCCAGGTTCAGTCCCTGGCATCTGCAAATTAAAGGATCTGAGAGTTGGCAATGGCGTAGATTTCCATCCCTGACAACCACTGCCATTCAGTCTTCGTCTTCACTTTCTTTCTTTCTTTGGTGATCCCCCGTAGCTGAGTAACATTGTCTTCCATGAACACGGTCTTAACAGTGAGTCTGTAAGTGACTATGGAGGCCAATTCTGGATCCACACGTCCTTCCACAGTGGGGACATAGGTTTCCGAGTGGGACTTGATCATGGTGAGGGTTTGCCAAGCATGCCTTCCTCTTAGCACGTTCCTCCCTTGTGTCCTGAGTTCGAGCGTCTTCAAAGCCCATGACACCTTTGGTAAAAGGCCTTCACAGCTGTTGTAACATACCGCTTGTTATCTTCCGCCTGCTCTGCTGTTGAGAACTTCTTGGATCATTCCTCCCCTTGGATGATCCTGTTGGGAGTACAGTGGTACCTCAGGTTAAGTACTTAATTTGTTCCGGATGTCCATTCTTAACCTGAAACTGTTCTTAAACTGAAGCACCACTTTAGCTATTGGGGCCTCCTGCTGCCTCTGCGCCGCCGGAGCACGATTTCTCTTCTTATCCTGAAGCAAAGTTCTTAACCTGAAGCACTATTTCTGGGTTAGCAGAGTCTGTAACCTGAAGCATATGTAACCCAAGGTACCACTGTACGAGACTCCCAACGGCTTTGCTCACAAGGGTTATAGGAACGTGCAAGGCCACTCACCATGACAAGGTGATGATCCAGTGAGTGAGCACTCAGAGTAGACACTACTGGGGCAGAGAGGCAAGTTGTCTACAAAGTAGGTAGCTACTTAGCTTTGTTTCCTTCGCTATGTTGGGGGGGGGGGATGACTCACACCTGGATCCATGACAGATGCTGCAGCTGAGAGTCATTGGTTCATTTTAGCAAACCAGACGAGGAGCCTTCTGTTGTTGAGATCTGGCTGGAAGGGTGGTGTGAAAACCTACATTAAGCATCCATATTTAGTGGTTTTGTGTTGCTGTTGTGTTTACAGGTAAATGCAGACCTGTCACTGAGAAAACTTGCCTTATTTACTACAGTGGTACCTCGGTTTACAAACACCTCGGGTTACAAACACTTTGGGTTACAGACTCCACTAACCCGGAAGTAGTACCTTGGGTTAAGAACTTTGCCCCAGGATGAGAACAGAAATTGTGCAGCGGCGGCGCAGCGGCAATAGGAGGCCCCATTAGCTAAAGTGGTACCTCAGGTTAAGAATTAAGAACCTAACCAGAGGTACCACTGTATTAATTTTGTTGCATTTAGGAATCATTTTCCTGAGCACTCTTGCTTTGTTCTGCCCTTTACACAAGTGGCAAACCAATGACTAAACCCAAGAATATGATTCGTTTCGCCCTGGCAAATCATGATTTCTAACCCACTCTTTTCAGTTGATTCATTTACCTGCAGTGTTTATACCCTGCCCTTTAGCCTAAAAGGCTCTGGAAACAAATCAGTTCTAAGACAGTCCCTGCCCTGAGGCTCACAATAATAATAAAAAGACATGTCAAGTGAGGAAAAAGCAGGAGGAGGGAAGAGGGGAGGAAACCTCCTTCGGCCATGGACCTTAAACCATGGCTTGTTGTTGCCTTGGCAATTGTGGTTTGCTAAGTTGAAAAAAACTATGGTCCTGGTTATGCTGAGCTAAATCTTTCATGGTTTTCTCAGCTGCTCAAAGGGTGAAATGAGGGTGGTCAGCTGTGTCCTTGCAATTCATCCACAGTATGACTCAAAAAGTCATTCCTTATTCTTATTCTTAAAGTAAAGGGACCCCTGACCATTAGGTCCAGTCATGACCGACTCTGGGGTTGCGGCGCTCATCTCGCTTTATTGGCCGAGGGAGCCAGCGTACAGCTTCCGGGTCATGTGGCCAGCATGACTAAGCCGCTTCTGGCGAACCAGAGCAGCACATGGAAATGCTGTTTACCTTCCCGCCAGAGTGGTACCTATTTATCTACTTACACTTGACGTGCTTTCGAACTGCTAGGTTGGCAGGAGCAGGGACTGAGCAACGGGAGCTCACCCCGTTGCAGGGATTCGAACCACCGACCTTCTGATCGGCAAGTCCTAGGCTCTGTGGTTTAACCCACAGCGCCACCCACGTCCCATTCTTATTCTTACTATTAAATTTATATCCCACCCTTTCTCCATAGAGCTCAAGGTGGTGTAAACACTTCTCAGACGCTTCCCGCTATGTGCAGACCCAGCCGTGGTAGGGGGAGCTCTCTTAACTGTGTGGCAGCAAAGCGGGGAGGAAAAGAAAGCTTGGAATCCAAGGCTTGTTTCTTATTGGATAATATCCATGTAAAATCACAGGGGCTTCTACTTGGCCCTCAGGCAACCTCCCTTAATGTGTTGCACATTTGTTGACTGATTCAGCAAAAGCCAGGCTGCTGTTCTTGCAGTCGCTCGCTGCAGCCCTTCCAAACATTAGCAAACATAATCCGAGCATTGATTTTCCCCGGATGGAAACCAAAGGAGAGGAATGGGGGAAATACACTGTGATCATCATTAATGCATTACTTTCCCCTCCTTGAAACACATATGTCAGCAACAGGTCAAAGCCTTGTTTAGTAATGCGTTCAGGGGAAGCTGGAGAGCTGTAGCTCAGAGGCAAAGCATCTGGCTTTGCATGCAGAAGGTCTCTGGGTTCAATCCCTGCCATCTCCCAGCGGGTGTGGGAATTCCCCCTGTCTAAAACCCAGAAGAGGCACTGCCAGTCAGCGTCAACAATACTGAGCTAGTCAGACCAATATCAAGCTAAATGAATGTTGTTGTTGTTGTTGTTGTTGCTGTTTAGACGTTTAGTCTTGTCTGACTCTTCGTGACTCCATGGACCAGAGCATGCAGGCACTCCCTCCCGCAGTTTAGTCAAACTCATGCTGGTAGCTTTGAGAACGCTGTCCAACTATCTCGTCCTCTGTCGTCCCCTTCTCCTTGTGCCCTCCATCTTTCCCAGCATCAGGGTCTTTTCCAGGGAGTCTTCTCTTCTCATGAGGTGGCCAAAGTATTGGAGCCTCAGCTTCAGGATCTGTCCTTCCAGTGAGCACTCAGGGCTGATTTCCTTCAGAATGGATAGGTTTGATCTTCTTGCAGTCCATGGACTCTCAAGAGTCTCCTCCAGTACCATAATTCAAAAGCATCAATTCTTCAGCAATCAGCCTTCGTTATGGTCCATCTCTCACTTCCATACATCACTACTGGGAAAACCATAGCTTTAACTATACGGACCTTTGTTGGCAAGGTGATGTCTCTGCTTTTTAAAATGCTGTCTAGGTTTGTCATTGCTTTTCTCCCAAGATGAATATACCTACTGTATTTTCCCATCTATAAGACACCCCTATTTTGGGGGACTCAGATTTAAGAAAATGGGGGGAGATGGCCCCGTGTATAAGACACCCCCTAATTTTTGACATTATTTTTTAAGGGGGAAAACCTAGGCTTATACATGGAAAAATATGGTATGTTCCAGGTATCGAATATCTTTAGTCAGCCATGGAGAAGCCATCAGAGGTCCATATCTTCAGTCCTAGAGTCCTCATGCTGGGGAATGTGAAACATAATGCAGACTAGATGTAGTTTTCGATCATATATATACGCAGTGCTCTTTTTCCTTAAAAAAAATGTTTAGGGGTACTCTCATTTTGACTCAAGAAAATCACCATTTCATAGTTCAAATCAGGAAAAATAAATACAGTAAATGGACAAAAGTACAAAAATTCACAAAATGTTTAAGGGTATGTGTCTCCCCAGAAAAAAGCACTCTCTCTCTCTCTCTCTCTCTGTGTGTGTGTGTGTGTGTGTGTGTGTGAATGGTTTCTTGGTTTCCAAAAGTATGTGCAATGTCTCTTTTTTTCAGGTTACATTTTCTACAGATCAGTTTCATTTGTTGAGACATCAGTGTTACATTAGGAAGAAAGGGGGGAAAGAGGTGGAGGGGGGAATGGTGAGTGGGGTGGGGTCGTGTGGCAATGCTTCTATTCTACTTAGTGTATGTGTGAGGTTTTGTGTCAGCGTCACTTGTGTGGGTACTCTTTACTATTCGCTTGTATTCCTTTGGGGGTGAGAGAGGTTGGGGGGTGGCCTAGGGTGTGGCTGGTTGTCTTTGATTGGCAGTAGTGAAATTTGTTTTCGTGTGTGTGTGAAGGCATCTTCTTCTATTTGTCCCCATGTCAGTTTCAGTTTGTTCGTTAGTTTTTCTAATAAGGCTGTTTCCCATACTATTTGATACCATTGGTCCATGCTTACTCCTGACAGGTCTCTCCAATGTCTGGCTATGATGTTTCTGGCTGCTGAGAGTAGGTGGGTTATGAGCTCTTTGTGTTGTGAGTAGGCGTTATTGTCTTGGAAGATATTTAGTAGGGCCTGTTCTGGAGTGACTTCTAATATTTGCTTAGTTATTTTTGCATATTCCTTGTATGATTGATATCCAGAAGAGTTGGATTTTAGGACATTCCCACCACATGTGGAGGTATGTGCCTGTGGAGGTGCATCCTCTCCAGCATTTTGGTGAGGTTCCTGGGCGTATTATCGATCTCATATATCTTAATCAATTACCCGGTGCGGTGATGGCTAGGAGAACATCCGAACAGATTCTTTCAGAGGTGACGTCCCAACTGTAGAATTTCTATTTCCTTCTAAATTAAAGTTCCATCCCACCTTTCCTCCCAAAGGAATCCAGGACAGCAGGCACATAAACAACAACATGCAATTAAAACTTCTAAGAACAATGTTAAAAACAGTTAAATACTTCTAAAGTTTTGCCTGGTTCCTGCTAGGCCTTCTTTCTTGGCCCCTGGCAAATGCATTTTTTAAATTTATCATAGAATTATAGAGCCGTAAGTGATCCTGAGGATTAACTAATCCAAATCTCTGCAATGCAGGTATCTCAGCTAAAGCATCCATGACAGGTGGCCATTCAACCTCTACTTAGAGACCTCCAATGAAGAAGAGCCCACCACCTTCTGAAGGACTCTGTTCCACTGCTGAACAGCTCTTACCGTCAGAAAGTTCTTCCTGATGTTGAGTGGGAATCTGCTTTCTTGTAACTTGAATCCATTGATTTGGGTCCTACCCCGGTCTGCCTTCTTACTTACAACCAGTCCAAGGGGTAGTCCTGCCTATTGACTTGCTCCTCCCTAGTCTCAGTTTTGCCCTTGTAGAACTCATTAGGGAGGACGACTGACCTGGGATAGCTCAGTCGGTAGAGCAAGAGAGTCTAAATCTCGGGGTTGTGGGTTTGAGCCCCATGTTGGGAGAAAGATTCCTGCCCTGCAGAGAGTTGGACTGGAACCCTCAGGGTTCTTCTGATTCTCTAGGATTCTAGAACAGAGATGAACCTAGACTTATTTGGTTCTCCAAGATCATGCGAGAAGGAAAAATACCAAAGTCGTGGCAAGAAGCTAATATTGTATTAATTCACAACCAGAGCACAGTTAGAGAATTAGTTAACAATTACAGACCCATATCATTATTAAATAATGATTATAAACTGTTCACAGGGATATTAGCAAATAGGCTGAAATCGGTCCTAAAGGATGTAATAGACCAAGACCAGGCGGGATTCCTCCCAAATAGGCATATAAGTAGCTGTTGTAATTTAGATATTACCAGTATATTTTATGTGAGGGAATCATTGGGAATTTTGGTTATTATGTATACAGTGGTGCCTCTAGATGCGAACAGGATCCGTTCCAGAGCCCCGTTCGCATCTAGAAGCAAATGTAACCAGCGACGGCACATCTGCACATGCGCGCATCACTTTTGCTGCTTCTGTGCATGTACGTGACGTCATTTTGAGCGCCTGCGCATGTGCAAGTGGCAAAACCCGGAAGTAACGCACTCCGTTACTTCCGGGTTGCCACGGAGCGCAACTCAAACGCGCTCATCCTGAAGCACATTCAACCCGAGGTATGACTGTATATGTTAAGCTTCAATAAAGATAATTGGGGGGGGGGGGAGTAATGGGGGGAGGAAAAAATAGAATTATTTGGTTCTCTCTGTTCTTGGCTCTGGCGCCACCTACTGTTGGCTCCCCTGCCTCCTGCCCTACCAGTCCTAATTGGGTGCCACCCACCACTGCAGGAGGGCCACAAATTCCCCTTTCCCACCCCACTCACACAAGAATGAACAGTGGAAAACAGCCACCCAAAGGCAGGCTGTTAATGCTGACCAAATGCCAGGAAGAATGAAAACATTTATTTAAGCCTTCCTTGAAGGGCGAGTAGACATTTGCCTGAATGAGACTGATTTCAGGACCTTCCCCTCAGAGGACCCCACAGTGAAGCCCTTCAAGCTGGCAGAAGTTTAGGAACTCTCTCCAAAGCAAGAGGTCTGGATAGTATACGCAGATTAGAAAGCTCCATCACGAATCCCACAGACAAGTTTCCTGTGACATGAGTGGGCATGAAGTTATTGAACTTCTGTTCTAGGAAATCCCACAATGCATTGCCACAGGAGCAGCGTCACATGATCATCTGCGCAGCAAGATCGCCATGGTGAGATGGCGCTGCTCTCTATCTCCACCGCAGCTGGCAGAGTGCAGACTCAAACATTCCCTTTCCTCTTTAATCCTCACCTCCTTCACTAAAGGGGCAGCAGCGAAGGATATCAGCAACGTATTCCCCCATGTGTAGTTCAATGAAGGACTTGTGCCAATGAGCTTGCAGTTTGTTGGGGAAAGCAGCATAAGGCAAATGTTCTATCTTTGTGTGGAGTTGTCCATCTCATTGAAATGAATAGGAGAATACTTGCACGACTGGTAGCTAGACTGGTGACTGGGAGTGGCCACTGAGACCATACAACACCGGTCCTGAAAGAACTACATTGGCTCCCAATATGTTTCTGAGCACAATTCAAAGTGTTAGTGCTGACCTTCAAAGCCCTAAACGGCCTCAGCCCAGTATACCTGAAGGAGTGTTTCCACCCCCATCGTTCAGCCCAGACACTGAGGTCCAGCTCCGAGGGCCTTCTGGCGGTTCCCTCACTGCGAGAAGTGAGGCTACAGGGAACCAGGCAGAGGGCCTTCTTGGTAGTGGCACCCGCCCTGTGGAACGCCCTCCCATCAGATGTCAAGGAAATAAACAACTATCTGACGTTTAGAAGACATCCGAAGGTATGGCCAAAATATTGGGAAATTTTGGAAGAAGATGGAGACAAATTGAAATTGCAGAGCTTTGAAAAATTAAAAAACAAAGTGCAAGACTGGCTTCATTATTATCAGATAATGGAGGCATACAATTTGGATAAGAAAATTGGCTTCCAGGTGGAAAAATCAAAATTAGAAACAGAACTGTTAGAACCCAAAACTAAGAATTTGTCAAGAATGTATAACTTGCTGCTGAAATGGAATACTCAGGATGAAACGGTGAAATCTGCTATGATTAAATGGGCACAAGATGTTGGACATAACATCATGTTCGCTGACTGGGAACAGTTATGGACCACAGGTATGAAGTTTACGGCATGTAATGCCTTAAGAGAGAATATTATGAAAATGATATACAGGTGGTACATAACCCCAGTTAAGCTTGCAAAAATCTACCATTTGCCTGATAATAAATGTTGGAAATGTAAAGAAACTGAAGGTACATTTTTCACCTTTGGTGGACGTGCCCAAAGATTAAGGCTTTCTGGGAGATGACATATAATGAATTAAAAAGGTATTTAAATATACCTTCTTGAAGAAACCAGAGGCCTTTCTCCTGGGCATAGTCGGCCAACCGGTGTTAAAATAGTATAGAACTTTCTTTATGTACGCTACAACAGCAGCAAGAATACTCATCGCAAAGTATTGGAAGACACAAGAGCTACCCACACTGGAGGAATGGCAGATGAAAATGATGGACTACATGGAATTGGCGGAAATGACTGGCAGAATCCGTGACCAGGGAGAAGAGTCGGTGGAAGAAGATTGGAAGAAATTCAAAGATTATTTACAGAAATATTGCAAAATTAATGAATGTTAGAGTGATGTTGGATTGAAATTAAGTGGCTTCTAGCTGTACAGGCTTTAAAGTTATAAATATATCAAGATTAAGGATTAGGATTAAAAAGGTTAAAAGAATGGAAAAATTGGTTTTTAATAGGTAAAAATTTAATGTTATATTATATTAAGATTAAGGATTGGGATTAAAAAGGAGGGAAAGGAATTGCTGGACTAACAAACTGAATTGGAATACAAAAGAGGGAGGTATGAGGAGGTCCGGGAAACAAGTAAATGTAAAAGTAGTGATGAAAAGATGGAATTGTTTTTAACTGTTTTTTCTTTTTTCTTTTTGTATTTTGCATTGTGTATTTTTCTTTTTATTCTTGAATTTTTCTTTTTTGTTGATGTGATTCTTTCTTTGTGAAACTTTAATAAATATCATTTAAAAAAAAAAAAGAAGAAGACATCTGAAGGTAGCCCTGTATCAGGAAGTTTTTAATGTTTGATGTTTTATCGTGTTTTTAATATTCTGTTGGGAGCCGCCCAGAGGGGCTGGGGAAACTCAGCCTGATGGTAGGAGTATAAATAAATTATGATGATGATGATGATTATTGGCTGAAATGTTTTAGTGCTTTATGATGCAATGTTTTGTTGCAGATCCCACTTGTAGTTTAGTATTTCTGTTGCAGCTTCAATGGAATCGTAGGTTTTTAATATATGGAGCCACCCAGAGTGGCTGGGGTATGTATGTATGTATGTATGTATGTATGTATAAATAAATAAATAAATAATAACAACTCCTCCTCCTCTATGGGTGGGATCCCACAACATGGCACATACGGGCACCACAATGTCCTTGGACAGCCCCCCACCCACCCAGCAAGGACCCTGCTCTTCCCAATATGATAATGATATACAGTGGTACCTCGGGTTAAGTACTTCATTTGTTCCGGAGGTCCGTTCTTAACCTGAAACTGTTCTTAACCTGAAGCACCACTTTAGCTAATGGGGCCTCCTGCTGCCACTGCGCCGCCAGAGCACAATTTCTGTTCTCATCCTGAAGCAAAGTTCTTAACCTGAAGCACTATTTCTGGGTTAGCGGAGTCTGTAACCTGAAGCATATGTAACCTGAAGCATATGTAACCTGAAGCGTATGTAACCCGAGGTACCACTGTAACAACAACAACAACAAGGGTTGCACTGTATGATTTGGTAGGTTGCCGGTTTGGGGGACATATTGCTCTTTCCTCCCTCTGCGTTATATTTGTGTTTTATTCATTTTTTTAGACGCATGTATAAAGCGCTTAACGTAGCAGAATGTAACAGACAACCTGGAGGTGGAAGAATTTTTAAAATCCTTCTCAGACACCAGGTTCCCCTTTACAACATTTGTTGCTGGCCGAAAGGGTCCCATCTCACAGTGCTCTATGCGGTCTGATGTCATTCTTGGGCATTTCTGGTCATGGGCATAATATGATGTTCAATATTTCCTACTTGAAACCTTGTTATTTTGACTCTGCTTGTACTGATGGCGACTCATTTTGTACCAGTGCTCAGGGTAAGATTTTTAACTTCTTGTTGCCACTTGCAACATGTGCTGTGAGGTTACTGTAAAAACGCCAACAATCATTTATAGTATCATCATGATCAACCACTTAATATTTCGAAAATCCTTAAGTGGTGGACTGCCTAGGCAAGCAAGCAATATATCATTAAAGCATGAAAACAGCAATGCAGCCTAAACTCAGTAAAACAGCAAAATAAAAAGAAAGCTGTAAAAGCATATAAAGGTGTACAAAACAGAAATTCAGAGGACCCAAATTTGGAAAGCAAAGTCCACTGCTATGGATCAGGGAAAAGCTGGGCAAATAAGATAAAGTCTTTGCAAGGCATCTAAAGCAACTGATGGTTTCTGCTTTGTATATGGCAGAAGGAAAGGCATTCCATACTAAAAGGGCAACAGCAGAAAATGCCCATTTTTGGGGTTACCACCCTAGGATATTCTGCAGGGGACAGTGCCACAAGTAGATCTTTCAAAGGCAGGCAGTCTTACAGGTAAGCTGGTCCCAAGTTGTTCAGGTCAGATGATACCCTGGGTCCTTTCCAAACCGGTGGCCTCATGCAGATGAGGTTAGAATCTGTAAGAGAAAAACCTGCTGAAATGGGCAGGCCAGTTTCTTTTGTAAGATAATGGCCTCAGCTGGTCAGCTAAGGGCTGCTATTTACATATCCAAAGAAGTTGCCCTGTTGCCGTAGAGACAAGCGCCTGGGCCTTTTCCAAGCTCACGTGCCTGGACACCTAGGATGGATAACAGTAGGAAAAGGGGGCTATATGTGAAATTTTTGGGGGGAGAGAGACAGAAGCTTGTCTTGCTCTGTGCTGGAGCCAAAGCTGTGGCTTGGAGATGTCACTGGGAACCTAATGAGGAGGAATGGTATGTTGGAGTGTTAATACTATGAGCCTCTCCATCCCATGCTCAGGTTGTATATATGTGTGGACAAAACCATATATCCTAAAGACACTACAGTCTTCATTGCCTTTCATTCCAAGGAAGACAAAATCCAGAGTAAACACTGGAAATCCTCGAGTCTATCAACACTTGAAGATTGCATGCAACAATATCTTAACAACAAGGCATTGAACATGGCCTGGTAGCTGATCAACAGCTAGTGCCAGTCCCTCAGTACAGGGTGATGGCACTTTGCTTGTTTGGGGTGCTGTGTTCTGTCACTTTCCCTTCTGTGAAATGGGCATTTTGTTGTGCCCATGACAGTGTCTTCGGTTTTCAATTGTGCTTCTGGTCCCAAAAAGGTTGGTGACCCCTGCTCCGGAAAGTGTCTTCCACTCATGAAAGGGTTTGGGGTGGACTGAGGATGGCATCAGAAAATCAGCACTACGTTCAAATATCTCTTTGTTTGTTTGTTCTATTGGTCAATAACACCATGCAGCAAGTCTCTAGTCAACATGCAATGTGAGGTACAATAAATTATTCAACGTGTCCTAGAGCAGGGATTGCTAACTTTTTGGAGCTATTGGACCCATAGGGTAGGGTTGCCATACGTCCGGAATTTCTTGGACATAGCCAGAATACTGCAGTCGGAAGCAGTGTCCAGATGGAAATGGCTAAAAATGTCCATGAAAATCCGGACGTAGGGCAACCCATGTCGGCAGTGTCATTTTTGGCGATTTCCCTTAAAAACAGCTCAAAAGCTTCTGTCTTTTGTTGCGATTTTGCCTTTAAAAACTCAATAACTTTTGTGTCCGGTCTTTCACTTTTTGAAATATGGCAAACCTAACATGTGGAATTCTGAGGAAGTGCTGCAGGCGTTCACAAAATGGCTGACTCGGGTGTGTGAGGCGTGGGGGCAAAGCACAAAATGGCCACCACATCCGAAAGAGTCAGATAAGAGACAGGACCCCTCCACTCACGACCTCCACCCTCAGTGAGGGGAAAGACGCCTATGTCAACCACTACCAGATGCACTCACAGAAAGAAACTCTTTCTATCCCTCCTCTTTTCAGAACAAAAGGGACAGGGAAAGGGAGTCTAATCTTGGCATCCAATGAGGTGTTCGATGCAGGAGAGGCTGAGACAGGAACAGAGCAGGAAGTACAAACAACCTCTCCTGTATTGTGGATTGGGGGGGGTATTTATGGAGGCCTTTCATGGGTGCCATAGGTTGTACTGCCCGTCAATGTCGTGTTAACAACCCCTGCCCTGGAGCTTGTGTAATCTCTTGGGTAACAAGAAGCACAAAATTGCAACAGGGAAGCTACTTCTTGCCGTGGCTCAGTGGAAGAACATGTATTTTGCAAGCAGGAGCTCCAAGGTGTAATCCCCAGCATCTCCAAGTACAACTGAGAGAGACCTTTGTCTGAAATTCTGGAGAGTTGTTGCCAGCGGTGTAGACAATATGGAGCTGGAGGGACCTGACTCATTATCAGGCTCTTGTGCAACCTTTTCGCACGAGTGTTTGCAGGGGAGCTCTTGGGAACTGTTTCCTTCCTGCTCATGAGAATCTTGTGTACATATGGAGTTTCAGGACTAGGTTGCCAAACTGAGCACCCAAACATGAACTCCTGTGTTTAGCCTGGGGATCAGAGTGAAATTGACTAACCAAGAACTGAGGTCCAGATTTTGGAAGGCAGAATTCTTTTTTGTGCAAGTTCCATTGAAACAAACAGGAGCTGTGCAACAGAAGCCCAGGAGTTGCTCTTATTTCCGGGGGGGGGGGGGTTGCTCCCTGCATCAAGCAGTTTGTTAGCCTTGGGTAGCTTTTATTTTATTTTATTTTAAGCACGCAACCTTATCCCCCACCTCCCACCCCCTGCTCTGCTTAACTTGTTCTTGCAGGAGTCTCACAAGGATAACATTTGACAACCCTTGAAGTTGACTTTCCATTTATAAAAATCACACTCCCACAGAGCTAAGACCTACAACGGGAATAGTGGTGGTCTTTATTAGCCTGGCCATTGTGCGGGGAACTCTTTTTTTTTTTTTTGCAGTTAAAAGATATAATTCCCCCTTCCCTCAATGCACACACACACACACACACACAAATACTTTTTCTCCCCACCCCACCCCAAACGGAAAGAGAGCAGAGGGTGAAAGGGTTGAAGATTAAAATGTAAACAGCAAAATTTATTATAATTACAAGAGTGTTTCAAATTATTTCCTTAAACGGCAACATAATTTACTCCTAGTCAAGGTCTCTATTGGTGGTGAAAGAGGAAACTGCTTGACCTTGGCGTGACCTCTGACCCCCTGGGTCAGCACCCATGGAATGCACAGATGTCATGGTTCATAAGCAAGGACATAAATGCTCAGGTTTCCCAGGCACAGAGGCGCCTGCACTTGGATGGGGCCAGCATGCACACCTCCCTTTGAACTAGCCACACATACCTGAAACAAAACTTAAAATAAGCACGCCGCCTCCCAAAGCAGGAAGGAACGGGGAATGACAGAGACAGAGGAGATGGCGGGCTGCCTCTAGGAATGGGCGGATATGGTGGAGTTGGGCAGAAGGGAAGAAAGGCAGCTTGCTTTTGATTTTAACGCAGACCCACCTAATCCGCCTTTTCCAAAATCATTCGCAAGCTTGAACCTCAGCTGTCTCCCTGAAAATTCGTTCTTCGCTCCAGGTTTCGTGGTGCAGTTCTATGACCAAATGATGTGCCCAAGAACGGATAGGTTAAGGGAAACTGTGCCCAAAGGGGTGTGCTAATAGGGAGGGGGAGGAAAGAAGATGCATTTTGCTCGTGGAGTTTGCCTGCAGAAGTGTCCCTGTGAAGCACAAGAAATTCGCACGAGAACGATGGCGAATTTTCGCGAGGGCTTCAAAAAAGGATTTGCAAACCGATGCAGAAAGTTGGAGAACTTGAGGCTGAAAAAATGAGAAACCCCAGATCAAAAGATTCGCCCATCCCTAGGTAGAGTCTGGGGCAGGATGCACAAATCTAGCAATTTGGGTTTCTCTCAGCGTCTCATTTTTCCAATCTTAAGTTTTCCACATTCTTGCATAAGTTTATGATTATTTTTTTGGGGGGGGGAGGAAGCCTGCATGAAAATCCGTACGCATTTTTGTGTGCATTTTGCCTTACATGCATATAAACACAATTTTGCTTAACGTATGCACTTTTTGCAAGCAATTTCACCAAACGGCAATTCATGCTTTTATGTAATTTTCACTAACACCTGCAATTCCTCACCCCAATATACATATTTTTGTACAGCTCTTTTTTTGGGGGGGTGGGTTGGAGAACCACATTGCAAATTGTGCAGGTCTGAACAATGCACGTTGGTTTGCATTCAAGCGGAGTTCAGGAGTTTCTTCCCCATCCCTAGGAAAAAAGGGTGTAATGACTAGCAAGTCTGCTTTACATTCCAAGCCTTATACATTTTTACTCAGAAGTAAATTCCATTTGAGTTTAATGGGGTTGGCTCTGAAGTAGGTAGGGATGGAGGGGAAATTCAATTCAGTTTGCATGTTAAAAGGAACTCATCTAATTTGCATTTTCCAAAACGATATGCAAACTGAAACATAGCAGTCATTTGAAAATTGCCCTTCTCTGATTTTTGCATTCCCATTGCCAAGTAATGTGTAGGGAAATGCATGTACTAGGGGAAAGTGAGCATAAGTGAGCACACATTTGTGAAAAACAGCATACCAAAAGGCATTATTTTAGGGGGAATTGGTTTGCAAAAATGGGTATACTAGGCAAAATTGTGTAGACAAATGTGTGTTTTAGGAAAACTAAATTTTCATGAGGATTTTTTAAAAAAATAATAGTTAACGGATGTAGAAATGTGGAGAACGGAGTCAAAGAGAAACAAAAATTGACATCCCTGTTCCCAGGTGAGTATCGGAGTCCAGTCTCTAAGCCCAGGGCTATTGTAGTCATTTCATTTTAGAAGAACTGCAAAGCATTCCATCCCATTTCACCCCCTTACACACAAAACAAGAAATCTCCCCCAAATCCTATATTAAATTAGTATCCTTGTAATTATTACGTTTCTAAAGTGCAAAATACAAAACCCATTAAGAAACATTTCACTGGAAAGGAAGGGAGCAAAGGATGAGAAATCGAGTTCTGAGGCTTTGTTGTGCAAATAAAATGTTTTAATTCCACATCAGTGCAACACAAATTCAGTCCACAACACAGCCAGCTTTGACAGCCTCTTCTGTAAGGACTTATAAAGTCCTATCTTGCTAAAACAATATCAATCTGGTTGCTTTTTTTAAAAAAACTACTGGCAGTACTGCACTTCCCCTTCCCTCCTCAAAAACAGCAGCTCAATAATTTAAAAATTCTTCTCCCAGTTAAATACAAATGCAAGGAAAGTCAATTTCAGCTCAAGTACCAAGTGCCGCAGGAAATTTTAATTTAAGGGAGGGATGATCAAACCAGCCCTGGCCATCCAGAGACATATATTTTAAAAGAAGTGGGTTAGGGGAGAAATTCCAAGGTTTTAATTTTGAGATGGGAATCCTGTCTTATATATCAACTTAAAATTTATATTAAAGGGAAATTGGGATTCTAACGGTTCCTTTCAACTAGCTGCAGCCTACAGACCGCAAGTTGTGCTAAGCATGATCAAAGTACTTTGCAATTAGTTTGGTTTTAAATCACTATAATTGTCAGCGTAGCTTGTAATTGGAGAAACGATGTTTAGGGGTAACAGCAAACTTGCCCAGGTTGTAATCTTTAAGGGGAATGAAAGAAAGAAAAAGAGAGAGGAGCGGGGGGAGGGGGACCGTGAACTTTAGTTGATAATGACAGGAGTCCAGCTAGAGTCCAATGACAAAGGTGGCGGGCGGGTGGAGGTTTAAAAGCTTTAGTTAAGCATGCCAAGTCTACCATCTTGAAGAATGCGGTGGTGAGGCCTCAAAGGTCCCGACAACCATTTCCACATGTCCGCAGAGATTTTAGACTTGGGCTTCTCAATTAGTGGCAATGTGTCTCATTAGTTCCGTTGCTTCCCTTTCACATTTTCACACCACTTCAGGACCTACTCTGTCGAGGTCCTTTGCAATTCCGCCTCCACAAGGATGTAGGAAGTTGCCTTGCACTGAGTCAAGCTGATGGCTCCATCTTGTTCGGTCCTGTGCCCACACGGACTGGCAGCAGGGTTTTAGACAGAGCCAGTGTGGTGTAGTGGTTGAGAGTGGTGGACTCGTAATCTGGTGAACTGGGTTTGCTTCCCCATTCCTCCACATGCAGCTGCTGGGTGACCTTGGGCCAGTCACACCTCTCTGAAGTCTCTCAGCCTCACTCACCTCACAGAGTGTTTGTTGTGGGGGAGGAAGGGAAAGGAGATTGTTAGCCACTTTGAGATTCCTTAAAGGTAAAGGTAAATGGACCCCTGACTGTTAGGTCCTGTCGTGACCAACTCTGGGGTTGCGGCGCTCATCTCGCTTTATTGGCCGAGGGAGCCAGCATACAGCTTCCGGGTCATGTGGCCAGCATGACTAAGCTGCTTCTGGCAAACCAGAGCAGCGCACAGAAACGCCGTTTACCTTCCCGCCGGAGTGGTACCTATTTATCTACTTGCACTTTGACGTGCTTTCGAACTGCTAGGTTGGCAAGAGCAGGGACTGAGCAACGGGAGCTCACCTCGTCACAAGGATTTTAACCGTCGACCTTCTGATCGGCAAGTCCTAGGCTCTGTGGTTTAACCCACAGCGCCACCTGCGTCCCTTGAGATTCCTTAGGGTAGTGATAAAGCGGACAGGGGCGTCTTACCCATAGAGGCTAGTGGCGCGGGGCACCAGGGCGCCAGACAAGCAAGAGACATCAGTAATGTTTCTAAGGACATTTTCCAGCCAGGCAAAAGTCCTTGAGGAGGGTGCAGCGCTGGGCCAGTGAGGAGCATGGGTTGAGGAGAGTCCTGAGGAGCAGACAGAGAGACTGGGAGCTCAGTAATGTTGACACAGGCTGGCAGCAGCTCCCTAAGTTTTCAGGTAGGAGTTTTCCCCAGCTATACCCGGAGATGCCAGTGATTGAAACTGGGACCTTCCGTAGGCAAGGCAAATGCTCTACCACTGAGCTATTGTCCCTCCCCTCCGATCTCATGGCCCTGATTCACTGGGATTGTGACACAGAGGAGGGGCTGGCCGGCTGGCTTTGGAGGAACATAAGCACCTAACGTGCTGGACTGAGCCTGCTCTCTGACACTGATCTGGAGTCCCTTGAGTCTCAAACACAGAGGCAAGACCCCTTGGGCCTGGAGAACGGGCCTTGTGTATTCCAGGGGCCTCACATGCCCCAGTGCCTGCTCACCAACACAGGGAACACACAAGGTGGGAGCTGACTGAGAGTGCTAGGCTCTAGGCCTTGGGTAGTAAACCCTTTGCAACCCAAGAGATACATTCTGTTCTAATAAAAATTATTATTAGAAAGAGATGAAGGAGATGGAGGAGGAGAAGAAGAAGAGGAAGAAGAAGAAGAAGAAGAAGAAGAAGAAGAAGAAGAAGAAGATACATTCGGTTCTGAGCAACCTTCTGAGGACCAAGTTGCCTGTGTTGGGTGGGACCAGAGGCTAAGGAAGGCCAAGCAACAAATGAAAACATTACCTTTGTTCATCAGGCTAGTTTCTGCACACCCTTGGCACACACCTGTCTGTATCCTCCTTCCAGACAAGCAAGAGGCATTAGCTGAGCTCAAGGACACGTCCCAGCAAGGCAGAAACACTTGCAGTTCATAACAGGGCCACTGAAGGGTGTGGCCTTTGGGAGAGTGGGTGTGGCCTAAGAAACATTCTGAGGGCCAGGCAGAGAGGCATGGAGGGCCTGATTTGGTATTCCAAACTGAGGTTCCCCGCTCCTCCTCTAGACCAAGGTTGAGTAGAAGATAGATCAGGTCTACTGCCAGATCTCTGGATGATTTGCAAGTTGACTGGGTTACTGGTTCCTAGTTGTCTTAAGAACATCAATGACTAAAATGTTTTATTCTCCTAAATTAGGTTGCTGAAAAAGAACACTGGCAGGGGGTTGATAAATTTTTGGGAGTGGACTTGCAAAGGGGTAAAAGAGTATTGAGAAATAATTCATAATGAATTGGAAAAAAATGTTTTAAAGTACCTTTCCAAAAAAACCAGAGTCCTTTTTGTTGGGGATAATTCAGATGGAAATTTGCAGGTGTCAAAAAGTTTATTTATGTATGCCAGTACTGCTGCCCGTGTTTTGTTAGCCCAAAAATGGAAAATGATCGACTAAAGAATGGCAACTTAAGATGACAGAATATGTGCAGACTTAATATATAGAATAAGAGAATAAGAAGAACATACATTTAGAGAAGACTGGAAAACATTTATTGAATGCAAGGGGGGAAATTGTGTACACTTGAAAACATTGGCAGCATTAAGATAAATTCAACAGTGTAAATTAATTTTGATGGATGTAATAATGGAATACTGAATGGTTTAGTTTGTGTAAAATATGCAGGGATTTATGATATGCAAAATGAACCATGGAAAGAGAAGAAGGGAAGTCATTGATATTTTAAGAATGTTTAAATGAGTATTTAAAATTCTAAAACAGAAAATTTAATTAAAACTATATTTATATATATATAAATTTTGGGAGTGAATTTTTGTGTGGAAAGATTTGCAAGCTTAATAACAACAACATTTTTTATGCTCCACTCACTCTGGGTGGTTTCCAGCAAAATATTTAAAACATTATTAAACATTAAAAGCTTCCCTATGCAGGGTTGCCTTCAGGTGTCTTCAAAAAGTCATATAGTTTGACATCTGATGGGAGTTCTGGTACTAATCAAATATTTCCGGACTGTCACCTTGCCCTTAATTCTTACAACCTATGTCCACATAGCTTAGCTGTTGTATTTTAATCTTGTTTTTAAGTTGTATTCATTCAACTTGTTTTTATTATTGCTTGTTAGCCACCCTGAGCCTGGCCTTGGCTGCGGAGGGCGGCGTATAAATAAAAATTATTATTATTATTATTAGCCACTATTTTGCTCTGGTTGGTGGCCTTCAAGATTCCAGTAAAAAACAAAGAATATCCCACAAGCCTGATGGCTGCCCGTTTCTGTTCTGGGCCAATGGCCTGCCCCTTTAAGGCTTTACGCTCTTTGGGAAGGGGGAAGGATCCTGGAAGGAATGGTCTGCTCCAAGAGTGAATGGCGCTCCAGACCTTTATTGGAGTAAATTGTCTGTTAGGAACTATCCAAGGTCCTGGAACTCTAGCCTACCTGATACCTGATCATCTAACAGGGAACTAGTGTGTCTACTCTGAAGGAAGTCTTGTTATAGTCAAAGGGACTTGCTGCAAGGTATCCATCATGGCTTGTCATCCTGTGGTCAAGTCAGACCAACAAGCACCCATGATTCCGAGGAGCACAGCAGACGTCCTTCTACTGAGCCAAGCCATTGGTTCATTGAGCTCAATATTGTCTACACCGACTGGCAGAAGTTCTCCAGGGTTTTGGGCAGGGAATATTCCCAGCACTACTACCTGGAGATGCTGGGGATTGAATCTGGGACCTTCTGACTGGAAAACAGATGCTCTCGCACTGAGCGATGGCTCTTCCCAGCGTGGTGTAGTGGTTAAGAGTGGTGGACTCGTAATCTGGTGAACTGGGTTCGCTTCCCTGCTCCTCCACATGCAGCTGCTGGGTGACCTTGGGCTAGTCACACTTCTCTGAAGTCTCTCAGCCCCACTCACCTCACAGAGTGTTTGTTGTGGGGGAGGAAGGGAAAGGAGAAAGTTAGCCACTTTGAGACTCCCTAAGGGGAGTGAAAGGCGGGATATCAAGTCCAAATTCTTCTTCTTCTTCCCCTGCTGCGCTACTTATGATAGGTCTTTCCTGCAGCCACCAACCTTTGAAACCTGGCAAGACTTCGGAAACACGACCAAAACCCATCAGAAATGCTCTTCTCAGAAACCACACAGTTTGACGTTGCTTTGATGCATCCTTACCTACGATTCCGTTGAAGCTGCATCAGAAATACTAGACTACAAGTGGGATTTGCAACAAAACATTGCATCATAAAGCAATAAAACATTTCAGCCACTAATAATAATAATAATAATAATAATAATAATAATAATAATAAATTTATACCTCGCCCATCTGGTGGGGTTTCCCCAGCCACTCTGGGCGGCTCCCAACAGAATATTAAAATCACGATAGAACATCAAACATTAAAAACTTCCCTAAACAGGGCTGTCTTCAGATGTCTTCTAGAAGTCAGGTAGTTGTTTATTTCCTTGATATCTGATGGGAGGGCATTCTACAGGGCGGGTGCCACCACCAAGAAGACCCTCTGCCTGGTTCCCTGTAACCTCACTTCTCGCAGTGAGGGAACCACAAGAAGGCCCTCGGAGCTGGACCTCAGTGTCCAGGCTGAACGATGGGGGTGGAGACACTCACTCCTTCAGGTATACCGGACTGAGGTCATTCAGGGCTTTAAAGGTCAGCACCAACACTTTGAATTGTTCTCAGAAACATACTGGGAGCCAATGTAGGTCTTTCAGGACCAGTCTATTCCTGCCCCTCACTGGTTTTCCCCCAACAGGCAGCATTTAAGAACCTAGGAAGCTCCCTTATACCATGCCAGGTCCATCTAATTCAGTACTGGCAGCAGCTCCCCAGAATTTCAGACCACACCTGAAGATTGAACCTGGGACCTTCTGTGTGCAAAAGCAAGTACTTTTCCCCTGAGCTACAGCCCTTGCCAAAGATAAGAAGAACACAAGGAGCTACCTAATACTCAACCAGACCATTGGTGCACCCAGTTCAGCATTGTTTACACTGACCAGCCAAAGCTGGGTTTCCCAGCCACTCTGGTCGGCTTCCAACAAAACACTAAAATACAATAACCTATTAAACATTACAAGCTTCCCTAAACAGGGCTGCCTTTAGATGCCTTCTAAAAGTTTGGTAGTTATTTTTCTCTTTGACATCTGGTGGGAGGGCGTTCCACCGGGCGGGCGCCACTACCGAGAAGGCCCTCTGCCTGGTTCCCTGTAACTTGGCTTCTCGCAGTGAGGGAACCGCCAGAAGGCCCTTGGTGCTGGACCTCAGTGTCCGGGCAGAACGATGGAGGTGGAGACGCTCCTTCAGGTATACTGGGCCAAGGCTGTTTAGGGATTTAAAGGTCAGCACAATACTTTGAACTGTGCTCGGAAACGTACTGGGAGCCAGTGTAGTCTTTCAAGACCGGTGTTATATGGTTTCGGCGGCTGCTCCCAGTCACCAGTCTAGCCACCGCATTCTGGATTAGTTGTAGTTTCTGGGTCACCTTCAAAGGTAGCCCCACGTAGAGCGCATTGCAGTAGTCCAAGCAAGAGATAACCAGAGCATGCACCACTCTGGCGAGGCGGTCTGCGGGCAGGTAGGGTCTCAGCCTGCGTACCAGGTGGAGCTGATAAACAGCTGCCCTGTTTATAGGATGCAGGAAACTGCCTTACACCTTCCAAGTCTGACCACTAATCTATCTCACTTAGTACAGTCTACACTGACCAAGGAGTCATTCCCAAGCCTTACCTGGAGATGCCAGGGGTGGAACCTGGGACCTTTTGCATGCAAAGAAGATGCTCTAACACAGAACTATGGTCCTTCCCCATATCATCTGTTCCACGTCCACTGAGCATGCTCAGTCCTCGCTGGGTGGTTTTGGCCCCTCCCCCTGTTTCCCCCTACTTCTGCCAACCTTGGGGTTCTCCTGAGCCTGCCCATCCTCCATCTTGTGTGCTGTTTTGCCTGTGTTAAGTATTCACACCTGGAAAAGGAGTTGGCTGTTACGATATCGGGTCCTTCCAAGACACTGAAACGTTCTTTGCGTCGTTCTAGAATGGGGATGAAGTTCAATATCAAAAAAACGAAGATCATGGCCACTGATCCCATCACCTCCTGGCAAATAGAAGGGGAAGAAATGGAGGCAGGGAGAGACTTTACTTTCTTGGGCTCCATGATCACTGCAGATGGTGACAGCAGTCACGGAATTAAAAGACGCCTGCTTCTTGGGAGAAAGGTGATGACAAACCTAGACAGCATCTTAAAAAGCAGAGACATCACTTTGCCAACAAAGGTCCGTATACTTAAAGCTATGGTTTTCCCAGTAGTGATGTGTGGAAGTGAGAGCTGGACCATAAAGAAGGCTGAGTGCTGAAGAATTGATGCTTTTGAATTATGGTGCTGGAGGAGACTCTTGAGAGTCCCATGGACTGCAAGAAGATCAAACCTATCCATTCTTAAGGAAATCAGCCCTGAGTGCTCACTGGAAGGACAGATCGTCAAGCTGAGGCTCCAAGACTTTGGCCACCTCATGAGAAGAGAAGACTCCCTGGAAAAGACCCTGATGTTGGGAAAGATGGTGGCACAAGGAGAAGGGGACGACAGAGGACGAGATGGTTGGATAGTGTTCTCGAAGCTACAAACATGAGTCTGACCAAACTGCAGGAGGCAGTGGAAGACAGGAGTGCCTGGCGTGCTCTGGTCCATGGGGTCACGAAGAGTCGGACACGACTAAACGACTAAACAACAACAAGAAGAATGGGGCTGTGTGAAAGTTTTATTGGGGCATCATCAACAGTTGCATAACCAGTGAAACCCAGCGGCATTGCTGGACAAGAAGCTGCTGTCCGTTAAATTACCTGTCCCCTCCAACCCCCCCCCCATAATGAAATTTTGCAAGATTACAGTAATTGAGCGGACTTCTCAGGAGCACTGAGTTCAAGGCACAGTTATGCGCATTTGTGCTCAAAGCAGTGAGAGTATTTACTGAAAATGCTAAGGGAGCAACTTTCACAAATAATTCCATTGTCCTCATTCTCAGTTGGCTTTCTTTGCCCTCAGATGATGTTGTCATGTAGTCAGACCATCATGTTCTCAACAAAATTCCTGATTTCCTGATATCACCCCAAGAAAGAAAAAGTAACTCTTAACTTTTTTAAAAAAAAAAATGGTGCTGGAGTAGGGTAAGTGAGTTAAAAATGAACTTTTTCAACGGACTTGAAGCAAGTGGCTGTTAAGGGGTCTGTGACAGCACCCCCGTTCTCCAGAGTATTGTTGTTTTAGCCTGTAGATTCGAACTCTTGAACATTTTACACAACTTGAGAAAAAATGAAAACTGATGCTTCCCTTGGAATTTAGTTGTGAGATCATGGTGCTGTGCCTTGCAAGCATTTCCATGGTGAAATATACTCGGAGTTGAGTGTGGATTTCATGCTCTTTATTCAGCTCATAGTAGTGAGGAATGAAGGTTCCCCCAAAATATCTGCTTTATATACAATATTTACACAATGGGCTGCATGTGATTGGCTAATTCCGGGATTCTCCTGTAGGCCAATCAGGTTACGGATTCACTTCCACTTGGAGCTGGATTGGGTGGCTCCTGCGGACCAATCATACTGCTGCATTGTTCTAGGACCAATCAGACTGCTACATTCTGAATCCTATTGTTCTAGGACCAATCAGACGGCTGCATTTTGGATCCTATTCAACTCAATACATAACACACGGGGAACCTTCAGCCCTCCATATGTGCTGAACTACAACCCCCATCATCTCTGACCATTGGCCATGCTTGCCGGGGCTGATGGGGGTTGTAGTTCGGCAACCTCTGGAGGGCTGTAGGTTCTCCACACCTGCGATAGCTAAAGGCCTTCATTGAAATACTTAATTAAAATATATATTGAAAGAATAAGATTGCATCTGTCGGTGCTCTTAAGTTGAGCAACTCATTTAAAGGACAGAGCATAGAAAAACAATTAATTGGGATTGCACGCGGCGTTCCACCCCATCTAAAAGGAAACAAAAGCAACCTTTTATACTGATACCGCTCTTGAAATTGTAGCTCTGTGAGGTCAACAGGGCTCTCCTAACAACTTTTAGCATCTTTAACAAGTTACCATTCCCAGGATTCTTTGAGAGAAATCCCGACTGTTCAAAGTGGTACAATACTGCTTTTAATGTAGGGTCTGTATCTCTCAGCCTAATGTACCTCATAGGGTTCTTGTGAGGATAAAGAGGGATAAAATCTCCTTCGCTTTCTAGATAAAAGTAATCCCTCTTGCAGTTCTTCTCTCAAACCTTCCCCTTCCTGTCAGAAATCTGGCAAGCCACTAGGAACCAGTGCATGGGCCCAGCCAGTCTCTGGTACAGGCTCTGTGTGAGATCTTAGGGAGAAATTCTGAGGTTTGATGGCTCATAACACCTAATTGGCTCTCTAAATACCCATGCGCATTGGCTACATTCAAATGAAGGAAAACTACTGCATATCAGCCTAAGCAAGTTGTGCTTCTTTTTCCTGGTTACAGTGGTACCTCGGGTTAAGAACTTAATTCGTTCCAGAGGTCCGTTCTTAACCTGAAACTGTTCTTAATCTGAGGTACCACTTTAGCTAATGGGGCCTCCCTCTGCTGCCGCGCCGCCGGAGGACGATTTCTGTTCTCATCCTGAAGCAAAGTTCTTAACCCGAGGTACTATTTCTGGGTTAGCGGAGTCTTTAACCTGAAGCGTCTGTAACCTGAAGCGTATGTAACCCGAGGTACCACTGTATTTCCGAGGTTTGGTGGCTCATAAAACCACTTTTTTTTGAGTAATACCATAAAATTATTTATCAATTGAAAGATAATTTGATGAAGAATGTAATGCAACAAAGTTCAATTATCAGTATTCTATCAAAGTTATAGCCAAATACAGTGGTACCTCGGGTTACATACGCTTCAGGTTACAGACTCTGCTAACACAGAAATAGTACCTCGGGTTAAGAACTTTGCTTCAGGATGAGAACAGAAATCGTCCTCCGGCGGCGCGGCAGCAGAGGGAGGCCCCATTAGCTAAAGTGGTACCTCAGGTTAAGAACAGTTTCAGGTTAAGAACAGACCTCCAGAACGAATTAAGTTCTTAACCCGAAGTACCACTGTACACTTTTTCCAAAAGGTTTCCACAGTTTTGGCCACTAGTGTAGATGCTAAGACCATGCAGACACGGGACTCAGTGTACAGTTTATCACACCCTGTATATGACAGCCTGGTAACTGAACTGACAGTCTCCAGGTTTATAATAGCTAAACTCCTTGGTTTCCTTCACGTAAACATTTCACTGTAATGGAACATTATACTTGAGGCCTCGCTTCTGTGGATGCACACTTATAGGTATTGCATCAAGGCAGAGCAATAGATAAATAGGTATCTGGATTTAATAAACACCGACATTCTGGGCTAATAGGCTAGACAGGAGCAGGAGAAGAAAGACTAAAATGAAATGCAAAAACAAAAGAAAACAAAAACCCGGCAAGAGTTTACAGATTGTAGGAATGCAACTGGAAACACTCAGCCGCATCAAAAGGAAGGAGGGGAAAGGCAAAAGATGTAGATGGTGGGGGTTCTCTCATTCTATACTAATAATGTTTCCCAGTCTCTCTGCTATGAGAGTAAACATGCTGATGATCTCATATGCCAGTGATGTCAATTCGGGGAGCTAGGAAGATGGAAGGGGTGCCAGTTCAGAGTCTGTTTTCCAATCCATGAAAGAGAGGAGACGACTTAATCTGCTCTTCAAGGCAAGACCTGGTGCGCCAGAAGAAGGAGTGTGTGTGTGTGTGTGTGTGTGCGCGCGCGCACGCGCCTGCCTTCTAGATCTATTGGCTGGTTTTCATTTGTCTCTTATATAATAAAAACGTAAGGACGGTCATCACACAGCCCTCATTGGAGACTTTTTGGTGTCGCGTCACAATCCTGGACTTGCATGAAGTCAGGGTGGAGTCGGGGAGCAAAAGCGAAGGCATGGCATGGGAGCAAGACGGGAGAGAACTAAGAAGGGGTAAGTTCACCCTTGTGCAAATTAATTGAAACAAACAATGTAGTTTATTGTACAAAACTCACATAGACATGTACAAAACTCACATATACGTACATTAGTAGCGGATATGACCTCCGCTATTTTTAAGCAGCTTTTGAACATGGTTTGGCATGGAGTTTACTAGTTTCGAAGAGTCACTGTTGATTTTCGGATCCCTGTACCACACTTGAATCAGCGCCTAAATGAGCTTCTCCAGAGTCGTACAGTCTACAGCACAGAGGCGAGTTTTGCATATAGCCCACAAATTCTCAATGGGATTTACGTCTGGGGAATTCCCTGGCCAATCAAGTACCTGTATTTGCTGCTCTGTTGTGAATTTCTTCACCACTTTCGATGTGTGACAGGGGGCTAGGTCCTGCTGCAATATCCCAGTACCATCAAGATACCTCTTTTCCAGCTCTGGAATAACTCTATTTCGTAGAACCTCAATATATTGTGGCGAGCGCATCATTCCTTCTATTGGCTGCAGGCTTCCGACACCATAACGATCAACTGACTTTTCGTGTTTGTTTTGAGTACAGGATTACGAGTAAGATAGAAAACTTGCTTTGTTTCAGTTAATTTGCACAAGGGTGTAGTAATTACTCAGAACTCTGAGTAAAACAAGCATGGAGGAAACTGAGAGGAAAATGGTGGCTTGGAATATTTGGAAGGGCTATGGATATTTGAGGGCTCTACATCTTTTATCTCTCTCACACAAGGTAGCTGAGGAATAGAAAAAGGAGAAGTTTGAGTACAGCAAGAAGGGTGGGACACAGGAAGGGGGAAATATGACTGGGGGAAGTTTGCGTAAAGAGAGGTGTGTGGACAGAGAGCAAAATGGCAGTTTTAAACAACTGACCCCATCCGTTGGCTAGTGAAGGAGCAGCTGCTCCTGTTTTAGTTCTCTTCTCTCCTTTTCCCTCCTGTGCTATGTCTATTGAATTGTGAGCCTGTAGACAGTGACCCTCTTACCTTTTAATGTATGTACAGTCATACTTCATGTTACGTTTGCCTCAGGTTGCGCATTTTCAGGTTGCGTCCTGCGGCGACCCGGAAGTACCGGAAAGGGTTGCTTCCGGGTTTTGCTGCTGGCACATAAGCAGATGTGCAAAATGACGTCGCGCGCATGCACAGACGCGGGTTGCGTTCTTTTCAGGTTGCAAACAGGCCTCCGGAACGGATCCTGTTCGCAACCAGAGGTACCACTGTACAGTGCTAACGAAACAGATAGTGAGGACGATGATAACGACACCGGAAGTGCAATGGAACAACCATTGACAGCTTTGTCCTCCATGAATTTATTCAGCATCCTTCTAAAACCATCAAATGAGTGACCATCACTTACCTGTTGTGGCAGCAAATTCCACAGATCGCATCATGTACACTTGAAAACTTCCCATCTTCGTCACCAGTTTCTCAACTCCCAGATCTGGTGGTTCTAGGTCGGCTGTTGTTTTTGATTGCCCTTCTGGTATTTGAAGGCGGATATCTTGTCCCCAACCACCACCACCAGTCTTCGATTTCTTCAGCCTTTCCTGCTAGGGACAGGGCCGGCCCACCCATGAGGCAAGCTGAGGGGACCGCCTCGGGTGGCAAGATCCACAGGGGCGGCAGATCAGGCCTGCAAGGAACGCATTGCCCACTGCTGCCGCCATGGTGGCAGCAATGGCTGTGACACATTTTGTGGAGGCTGGATCTGCTGTGTCTTCATCAGCCATGCCCCCTGATGCGGCTTCTACAGTGGCCTCCTGGCCAATAGGAGGCGCTGTTGGTCCCCTCCCAACCTTGTTCCCGATGTAGATCTTTATTCCCCCTTTGTTCTTGATGTAGATCTTAACTCACCCCTTCTCCCTTAGCTGCGGGTGTGTGTGTGCGCACATCATTTTTGGTTCACCACAGTTGACAAAACATCTTGGGCCAGCCCCGAAGAGGAACCTATCATACAACTTAAGAAGAAAGCAAGTTAGTAAGAACTCAGTGCAGCTATTTTGGGGTTGCATTGTGTGTTTCCTAATGTGAATGGGAATGGTAAGCAAGGTTTTGTGGACAGAAGGCAGAGTGTCAGGCTGCACAGGGACCCTCAGAACACGGTGTGCTCAAATTCCCCTGATATAGCAACTGTCATTCTGTCAAGCCCATTTACAAATAGCAGGAAGTTTACTTACTTTCAAAATAAGGTTCCCCTCCCACCATATTCCCCTTCCTCTGATGGTTCGACCTTTAATATTCTCCTTCTCCTGCCCCAATACGCCAGCTTCAGCTGACATGGATAGGCAACAAAATATTTTTTTTAAAGGAATAATGATCTTTATGATCAGCCTCAAAGTCAAACATTATTGGAGGTGGCAACATTTTAAAACAGGAGTCTCTAAATGTCTGGTGGGTGGGTTTGTTTGTTTTTTTACAAAAATGGTAACATGAAAATATATCTAGCAGGTGACACAATTACCATGGAACAGGATAAAGAGAGAATTTTATATATATATGCATGCATGCCCGCACACACACACTCACACAGTTAGTGAGACTGCATAATGCCTTGATTTGAAGTTCTCTTTTAAAGGCAAACCTACCTAATTCACACTTCCTGAAAAAAATATGCAAACTGAATCACAGTCCCCCTTCAAAATTTGCACCTTTCCAAATTTTTCAGCGAAATTCTGCAGCCAAGTACTGTGTACACACCAAAAAAATGTGTCTATTAGGGTAAAATGTGCATAAGAATGCATATTAGTGGAACCAATACTTAAGAAATTGTTACATTAGAGGAAATCGCTTTGCAAAAATGTGCCTGTTAGGCAAAATTGCAGGCCACTAGTGTGTTTATTGGGAGAAGCTTGCACTACAATGCTGCAAGCTGTTTAAAAGTGTGTTTTAAAATATTGCAACTAGCTGCAGCGATGCGAAGAGCCAAATTTAAGAGAAACAGAGAGGGCCGAAATGGACTGATCCATCCATCCTGAAACAATGTGGCCGAACATGGCTACCAGATTCCACATTTATTGAGTCTGAAGGCTTATAAGTGTTTTCAAGTTGTTCAGTCCACGCATGGTTTAGCCATTTTGAAGCCATAGCCGGCCCAGAGATGAAGGCTTTTCTATAGTCTGTCCATTCCCTTTTTGGTGAATTGAATGCAGTCAAAGGTCACCCTGGCCAGAGGCACTTTGATTGCCATGGCAACCATGACTTAATCAAACAATCCTGAGATTCCAGGTTTGTGGGAAACAGGCAGAGATCTGAAGAGACTGGAATTAATCAATCAAAGGGGGCAGGGAAGAAAATCCTAAGATATATGACTTATCCTTCCAAATCTATTACTCTGTCCTTAAACACACAAGAATTATGCTTGGAACAAAGCCCCATTCAGAAGGAATACCTCTGATTTTTGTTGTCTTGTTCCTTGCATTGAATTTCCTAACATACCTCTGTTCCACAGCAATCAGATGCCCTGCCACAGACCAGGCGGGGTCTCGGAGGGGGAGGGAAAAGGGGGAAACGGCAATTTAGGGGCAAAGGGGTCTGTTTACCATAAAGCAGGCCTCGGAGGTACCACTTAGAATTAAAGGAAACCTATGCACTTTGAAAATCATTCCCTTTTGTGAATGAATGACTGGTCACTGAGCTCTCTTGACAGGCAATGGCTGAACTTGTTAGGGCAACTCTTTTTAAAATAATAATAATAATAATAATAATAATAATTCAGAAGGGTAGCAGGGTTAGTCTCTTGCAGCAAAAGAACAAGCAAATACACTTGCGGCACTTTCAGTATTGTAGCATCAGCTTTCGTGGGATTCAGGGACCATAAGAAATGTGTGAGGGTTGCAGCCAATGCTAGTTCTACTCAAGAGTAAACCCACGGAAGTTAATGGACAGGACTAGCTTAAGTCCATTGATTTAAATGGGTCTGTTCAGGGGAGGACTTACCTGGATACAATCCTTGATCTTTAAGGTGTCAAAAGACTCTTTAAACTTTTATATATTTATTTTAACTGGACTTTTTAAAAAAAGAGGTTTCGTTTTCTGGACAGGCTTCTTTAACCTATTTTTCCTATCCTGGGCACAGCCTGGTGCCTCAGCAAATCTTGCAACCAAAGCGCTGGGCCTGAGCTGGAAGAAACTTTTAAAAAGCAGAGCTTTAGAGCACAAATTTGGGTTAGGTGAATGTTTTGTACACAGCCCATGTCGTGGATTTTCAGATTATTTTATATTTCACAGATGAGAACAGAATGACACCCCCCCACACACAAACATAACAACCTCATTTTTATCCTGAAGACCAGCCTGCACCAGCAAACCAAACTGTGTCTACTCAGAAGTAAATTCCACTGAATTCAATGGAACTTCCTCCCAGGTAAATAGGTATTGGCAGTGCTGGATTACCCAATAGGCAGACTAAGCATGTGCCAAGACACCAGCAAAACAGGGGCACAAAAATGAGAAATTTTGTTGGAAAGAATTTGACATTTCAAAAACAGCTTCAAAAAGTAGTAATTGCAGGGGGGGGGTAATCAGAATTTGTTAGACTCATTAATATTCCACTACACCTCACCCCCCCGCCCAATTTTTCTGTTCTCTTTTTCTTACTTAAAGGTAAAGGGACCCCTGACCATTAGGTCCAGTCATGGCCGACTCTGGGGTTGCAGCGCTCATCTCGCTTTATTGGCTGAGGGAGCCGGCGTACAGCTTCCGGGTCATGTGGCCAGCATGACTAAGCCGCTTCTGGCAAACCAGAGCAGCACACGGAAACGCTGTTTACCTTCCCGCCGGAGCAGTACCTATTTATCTACTTGCACTTTGACGTGCTTTCGAACTGCTAGGTTGGCAGGAGCAGGGACCGAGCAACGGGAGCTCACCCCGTAGCGGGGATTCAAACCGCTGACCTTCTGATCGGCAAGTCCTAGGCTCTGTGGTTTAACCCACAGTGCCACCCGCGTCACCTAAACCAGTTGGGTGTCCTACTAACATAGATGAGACAATGAGATCCTGCCATGTGTTGCAAAAAATAATAATGTTTTATTTTTAAATTTTGTTTCCGTATTGTTTTTATTTTGAATTACATATGAGGAGCACCGCAATCTTTATTGTGGTCTTAATCCTGCACTGGGCATTAGGATCACATCCCGAGGCTGCAGCTCTGGACACATTTACCTGAGAGTAAGTCCCACCCAACAGACGGAGATGAACCTGCTTTCCTCATTTGTTCTGGACTGTCTGATCCCTTATGTTCCACCTCAATCACTGAAATCCTCTGATGGGGCACTTCTGGTTGTTCCCCAAACCTCTGAGGTTCAGTGGGCCTTTACTAGGATCCAAGCTTTTAGCGTATCAGGACTTGTGGAACTCTTTGCCAGTAGATGTCCAGCAGGAATAATTCCTGCCTTCTTTTAGACATCTCCTTAACACAGTCTTATTCAAGACATGCCTTCACAACTGGAGTTTCTCTTTACCAGCTAGTATTTATTGCTGTTTCCACTGTTGTTTTTATCGATGTTTTTATTGCTGCATTTTTTAAAAATTATATATAACTCAGTTTGGTATTTTTATGAAAGCATAAAATATAAATAAAATAGCATACCCTCTAACAATTCTCCAATGAAAATAGGGACATCCTATTCCATCACCATCAAAATGTTATTATTTATACCCCAACACTCTGACTGGGTGACTTTCAACCTATATAAAAACATAATACAGTGGAACCTTGGTTCTCAAACGGCTTAGTTGACGAACAAATCGGCTCTCGAATGCTGAAAACCCGGAAGTAAGTGTTCCAGTTTTCAAACATTTTTTGGAAACCGAACATCCAATGCAGCTTCTGCGGCTTCCGATTGAGTGCAGGAAGCTCCTGCAGCCAATTGGAAGCTGCACCTTGGTTTTCGAACGTTTCGGAAGTCAAACGGACTTCCAGAATGGTTTGTGTTCGAGAACCAAGGTATCACTGTAAAACATTAAACATTAAAAAAAAATTCCCTACACAGAGCTGCCTTCAGATGTCTTCTAAAGGTTGTATCATTACTTGTCTCCTTGGCTCAGGGATTGCATAACTCCATACCTTCCAACATTTCTCTGATGAAAATAGGGACATTCTAAGGAAAAGCGGGATATTCCAGGATCATATCAGAAAGCAGGACAATGCTGGAAATGTAAAAGAAGTTTCTTTTTATCACATGTGGTGGTCTTGTACTAAGGTCAAAACTTACTGGGAAATGATTTGTAAAAAAAACCCCAGAAGCTTTTCTTTTGGGAATTACAGTGGTACCTCGGGTTAAGTACTTAATTCGTTCCGGAGGTCCGTACTTAACCTGAAACTGTTCTTAACCTGAAGCACCACTTTAGCGAATGGGGCCTCCCGCTGCCGCCCCTCCGCTGCTGCGTGATTTCTGTTCTCATCCTAAAGCAA